ATTTGCTTTAAAAAGTAGAGTATTTCAGTTTTGTTATCGCAATTCATGCAATTTTGTTGAGTTTTATGGAACCTACAATTATTATGATATACGTAAGCATAGAATAATTTAAAAATTTCTCGTTTGGTAATTCCGTAATTTTCTTCCAATATGATTAATAAGCAGTCGTTTAATTGTTTTGGTCAATAATGTGTATGTTTTTCTAAAATTCTATGGTAATATATTCATAATTTAGTAGAGTAAATTGAAAAATATTGGAGAAGATGCGGCTCAATTTGGTTGTAAACAAATTAAGCAAGGATCTAGTTTCTTTAAATACATATTGCAAAAGCTTCTTCCTAAAGGAGAAAAGAAAAAAGTCTGTAAAACATGATTTTTGACGTTCACCTACTTAAATGGACTTCCACAAGGTCAGGAGTTCCACAAGGTCAACCTATTTAGCAACTATTTTTCAATATTTTTAACAATACTAGAATTCACGTTTTTAGTACTACAAAATTATTAATATTGTAGCATTTTCACACATTGATATTGTGTAGTCAGAAACCATTTTTTTGAAATTAAATTTAGTTTTTCATTTTTTCATCAAATAGCTGGATTTAATTTTTTTCTCTTAAAGTTTTTCAATTTTTATTTTTCCTAATACTCGTATAGTTAATGAAATTTTTGAAAATGTGTGTGGGAGAAAAAGTTTTTGTATTAAAAAAAGGTCTCTAAAAATCCAAATGAACTTATTCTAATTTTAGATTGGGAAACCATTTCTTATTGCATTTTAAATTAGATTAGCTGTGTATGACAGGAAAGAAAATGTGATGTGAACAGCACATACTCGACAAGGTAGCAATGTTCATTTTCTTAATTTTTTAAAAATTGAAAGAGTTACTTAAAATTTTGAAAATGTTTTTCATAAGCTTATTACAATTTTTGTGAAAATTAAGAACCTTTTATTTAATATACCTCAAGAAATGATATAAATTTGGTTCTTAGGACAGTTTGATTTTCTATGATCCGATATCATTGACAAGTTTTTCAGTTAGTTTTGTTTACAAACAGAACTCAAATATAAAATTTCAGACAATTTCTTCAGATTACTTCCATGTAAATTTTAATATTTTGTCAATATATGGGTAAAAATATTATTTTGGCCCAAAATAAAAGGCAATTTTTTCTCCCTTGAAATTTTACAAAAACTGGTGGCTCGTCGTGTTACCATGTTGAAGTAAAATTATAAAATTTCAAAAAAATCCGTAGATTATTATCTTGAATACAGCTGAAAACGTTATATTGGCACGTGGGACAGGTCGAGTTGCTAAAAGTTCTCATTCCGTCAATTGAGCAAAGTAAACTTAGGTATAAGATTCGATTAAACACCACTCAGTCAAATTTCAGACACATAGTGTAGTGTAGTGGCAGACTAATAGGCAGATTGTGCAGACTAAGTGTACTCGACATGTGAAATTCGCTTCTATCATAGAAACGTCTTTTATTGAATTCAATGCGGTCGGTAAGAAGGGTAGTTCATGAAGCTAAGGCAAATGCTGGATTTTGTTGCAAATTTTGTATAATTGAAATTTCTCACAAAAAGAAAAAAAAAATTCTGTAGCAGTTTAATTTTGACTTTTATTAATGACAAAATAGTGTCAGTGGAAGTTCCATAAAATATATAAAAGAAGATGCACAATTTCATTTCGTTTTCTTAAGCACATTTGTATACAAAGCTATATCAACTATCCCAATGTTATCCTATTATCCTTTTAGCAGTATTCTTATGTATATTTGTTTTGATTAATGCTGTACTGCTCCTCTAATATTTTGCGTTTACAATTTTCTGTACTAATTATGCAAAATCAGCAGGATGTTAATTTTCGTAAACGTATAATAAAAAGTAGTCTTTGTTTTTCCAAAACCTAGTTTAGCTACGTTTATTAACAGTGATATCAAACACCCACATAAATATAAATACATTCTATTCCTGCAATATTTTCTCATACTCAATGTGACTATCTAACATAACAGTGTTATTAAGTTTGATAGCAAAAAATAATAAGAGAAATAAGAGAATTCATTAACAAATAATGGTCTTATTATTGTATGTTTTTTAATATTTACTGAACAAATTGCATTTGCATTGTGTTATTAATTTCCAAAGGTCATGGTTAATTTACGAACTAATGTGAAGGTTTTATGAAAATTTTTGATTTACAGATAAAAAGAAGTTGTTATGAAGATAAAATAATTATGTACATATATGTGTAAGGATGGTGGTTGGGATCCTTACTGGACGTTATCTTACTACGGTCCATCTGAAAAGCATAGGATAGGTAGAGAGTGAGTTCTGTCGTCTGTGTTTGGAAGGACGATTGGTTGGAATTTGTTTATACTTTTATTAATTTAAATACCAAACGTTAGATTATGTTGTTGAATATTTGCATATGCAATGACAATATTCACGCTATACCTAAATATTATGACACTAAAACAAGACATGTTTGACGACATTAAAAGTTTGTTTTTGAACGGTGGTATGAAATTTTTGTATTAGGTAGTCTGTGCTAACCTTTAACCTTTCCAACTTTTTTTCACTTTTATGATTTATTAATGTTAAATTTTTACACCTTTTATCCTTAAATATCCTTTGAAGTTCGATATAATTTTACGGTAACTATAGAAAAATCATTTTTATTATTGTTATATCTGTACAAGCATCCTAAATATATTATAAACTTACCACTTTGTTTACCACTAAAAAATAATGAATTGATATTATAAATATAAACAAAGCCTTATTCGGGCGATTCATTCCAAGCTAACTAAGTCGAGTGTAGCAATCCTTTTAGCTAAAAAACTAACTTAAAAATTGATAAAAATCCTATTAATTTTAATGCAATCAGAACAGCGCTGTGAATAGTTTGTCATAATATGATTTCAAAACCCGTCCCTGCAGAACAGTGTTTTGATATTAGAAACGGTTGTATACACAAATGTGAGTGATAAAGTTGACAATGACTAAAATTGACACTATAAATTTTACGTTGGAAGAAATTGCAACAAAACTCTCCAACTGTTATCAAGTAAAATTGGTCTTATTGAGTCTTCTCAAGTTTAACTTTGTCGTTTTAGTTTTGTATACTTTTAGTATCAAAATTGTTTAAAAATATGCTACTTTGATTCCAAAAAATTTTGATGTCTGGTCGGTGTAAAGAACGCTAAACGGCTGGTTAGTGGCATGAACGTTTGATTTTTAATAAATTTGCATATTTTCGCCCTTCAATATAGAAACGGTGGTGCAGAAACGATATGACTAATATGGCTACAATTCCTAAAAAAATTATTTTAAATTTTTTGATTTTTATGGAGGCTGCTACCATGTAGCAAATCAAACAATTTGAGTTGCTATAGCAATTCGAATAGCTATTTTCCAATTGTTTGAGATATCATAGTAGTTTACGTCAGGAATTTTTATGGCACATCATCACAGAGTTGACACGATCAACTCCATCTATTTTCGTTATTATTAGATTTCGACTGTGTAGGAAAAAAAACACAAATTTTAATCTAATCAGAACGCATTGAAATTATGAAAATCGAAATGAAAAGTTTTTTTTTCTTTGTAATTATTGTTTTTCTCTTTGTCAAAGGTGTAAAGGTCAAATACTGAAATGTTGTAGGGCTTATACGACACTGTTAATTTTCCCACTCATAACTTTTATTTTTAATATTAGAAATGTACATTGTGAGGCTGAACTAGAAATTTATTTTATCTATATTTTCTCTTTCTAATACATAGGGAATAAAGGAATTCGAAAATAAAAGAAGGAAGTTAAAAACGGCAAAACAAATTGAAAGAAAAAAAAATTAATTTTTTTTTATATTTTAAATTTGGTTGCCATTTAAACTTTGCGCGGTAAGTCATGCATTACCAAATGGTTATTATCTAAGTAGATCATTAATGTTTTTTTCATTCATCTAACTTAAATTTTCCGTACCTCCCCTTGTGTCTGATTCCTCCATTGTTTTTTAATGCCGCAATTTGATTACGTGTGTTTTATTTTTTGACTTTTCTTTTTTTTGCGTGTTCAGTGCGCGTTTTTTTTGTCCAAAAATTTTACTTTTTCATTCTAAAGAGAGAAAAGCATCTACCTATGTACATATAAGAAAATTTTCAAAATGAAAGTGAGAATAATTCAAGAGGGAACTGAACTTTTTTTCTTTGGTTTTTTTTTTTTGGTAAAAATTTCAATATTGTACTTTTTTCCTAAAGTTTTTATTGATATTTGTGTGTACCTGGTTTTCAATTAAAAAAATTTTTGTGTTTTTTTTTCTTGTTTTTACAATTCTTTTGCCCATTCTCTTTTTTTTTTGTGTTTTTTTTTGTTACCATTCTGTACTTAATTGAAAATTTTTCTAATATGTGTAGTAAAATATTTTCCATTTGTTAATAATGGAGCTGAAAATTAGAAAAACAAAAAGAAAAGAAAAATGACAAGGAGAGAAAGAAAAAACCAACATTTCACCTGTACACCGTTTCTATACAATCTATGAGTTTTTCCATTTTCAATAGTTAATTCTTTTTGAAATAAATGTTAAATCAGTATAAAAAGATACTACCGTTGTTATTCAGTTATTAGTTGGTTTTAAGTCGTTCTCAAAGAATTATCCACCACAAAATATTGAGTGACTAAAAAAGAAATTTTATTTTAACTTTATAAATCACACATAAAGGAAAAATAAGAAAATTTAAAATTTTAAATATTGAGTGTTAAAATATTTGAGTGAAAAATTTTCTTTGGAATATAAATTTTACGAGTGGAAATTCAAATACAAAATAAAGAATTTTCAAGGACAATAAAAAAAAAATAATAATAACAATAACAAAAAAATAAAATTAATTTTTTTTAATATTTTAAAAATGATAAAAAATTTAAAACAAAATTATTTTTTTATTAACATTTTATTAATATTTTTTATAATTAATAATGAAAATTTTGTTAATGCCAAAGAATTATTAAAAAATTCTACAAGTCGATCAAATTCACAATTTGGACAAAATTGTAATACTGAATATACTATAACTTGTATTAAAATGGATATTATTGGATTTATTGAGAAATTATCGGGACGTAAAGAATTTTCAATATTGCCTGGTATTAGTGTTGTACGTGAAATAAAAGAGAGCGATCCAAAAACAATTGATATTATTTCTGGTAATAAATTTATTATTTATACTTAATTTTAAATAAAATTTTTAAATTAATTAAAATTTAATTAATTATAAAAATATTGAAAAGTAGATTTATAAAACCATATGAATATTTTTTAGCTTTTAAATTAAAAATATTTAGAATGTGTAAGTAGAGTTTAGAATTTTTTGAAATAATATTAACCAGAATTAGAGTACTAGACCTGCAATATATTCAAGTATTCATAATCGATTCAATCGATTCAATCGATTATTTTAAAAGTAATTCGTAAAATTTCCCATCCAATTAATTAATTTATTTGGTATTAAGCCAAAAAATTCTCTGAAATTTTTTTTAAAAATTTAATGAAAATTAACGCTTAATTCCCTTATTTTATGCCGCAATACCGTGTTATCTGATCAATTTTCGATATGTATTTAGATGCAATTTGGAATAAATTCGATCATTTACCATCGTTAATTAGATTGTGAACAATCAGAAGGTGTTATCACGCAGTATGTGCGCAGTATGAAATTATTAACAAAAAAAATCACCATGGTTACTTACTGTTCTGTTAGATCTAAATAAATATAGTTACACGGATAATATCACCATTTATGTAGGGAATAGAAAATTTTGTGAAACTGAAAATGAGCTCCAAATTGTATTTAATTTTGTGCGTGGCCTAAAATGACTGTTGGAAACTGAGAATTAATTGTACCACATCGGATTTAATTCTATTCGGAAACATTTTGGATAATTGTCATGTTTCGGTCAGAAGAAACTGAAAGCAATTCTTTTTTATGTACTTGAATACGGTTTTACTTCAACATAATTTTAAATGCATTCATCACATAAAAAATCAAGTTTTAACAGCTAACATAAAGCTCTTTTCATATCTAAAAATTTATTTCAGTCGAAACATACTAGTAAAAGGTTTATCATAAATGCTTCATTAATGAAAAAGCTGAGGCTTTTCGAAAGGCAATGCCAAGGTATATTGCGAATGCTTCAAGAACAATATATTTTACATGAAATATCAAACAAAAATATTTATGTTGAAATTATTAGGGAGGACAATTTTATAATTTCTCAGATAGAAGTTACGATAGAAGTTTTTACATTGAAAATAATAATACAACTAGAAATGCAATATATTATGACGAAATATGTATAATATATTCAATGTGGGGTATATTATATATGTTTCGTGGGCTTTATCCCACCGAGGGATTCTCTTACATCTGTTTGGGCTTTTTCCAAAGTTAGATTTCGATTGAGAAAATTGGGAATAGCATAATGTTATCTCGCTTACGTTAACTAACATAATTGAGAATGAGTTCTTATACAATTTTCTTCTTTTATAATATTATACTTTGAATTCTATAAAAATGGAGAACAGCATATAAAATTTATTAAATTTAATTAAATTGTGATTTGTTTTTTAAAATTTTAACAACTCTTTAAAATTTTACTACTTTTTTTTAAATAAAATCTTTTTTCTTCTTTAGTACTTTTTTGTTTTCAAAATACTTGCCCCAATTAAATAGTTTTGTTTGAGTGACATCTGTACATAATTAAAGTTATATGACATTAAAAGAACAATGACTCTCCCGGCAAATTAACAATTACAGTAGCAATAATTATTGTCAAAGAAATTGTCACCGAAATGAAAATAAAAATAGCGTCAGTCTATTGTTCTCACACAATAATTATAAGTTTCAGTACCCTTATATCTAATTTTTCATTTTAAATTAATCTTAAAAAAATCTTTTCTTTCTTTAAATTAATTTTAGTTTTTTAGTTTTGTTTTTTTGATGTTTCTATTGTCCACCATTTAATTGACAATATCTATATGTAAAGTGGGTATATTTGTAGGAATTTGTCATGCAAAAATAGTTAGAATTATTGGTGCGTAGCCTAAGTATATTGAAATAAAAAAAAAATTTTTTTTACATAGTTTTCAATTAAAATAAATTTTCACTTCGACAAACCAAAAAAATTTCACTTTTTTTTTAAAGTTATTGAAAAGAAATGAATTGTGTTAGAGAATGGTAGCAGTAAGAAAAGCATTTTTTTAAGTAAGCCTTTTTTTTTTGGTTACATTTACTAATTCAGTACCAATGAACTAATTCCAAAAATTAAGTAAAGTATTTGAAAGTGAAAGTAATTTGAAACACACGTTATGCACATCTCAATGATTTTTGTATTCAACAAAGACACAAACTTAAGCATTTTCACATTTTATATTTTGGCATAACCATTGTAGTGTCATAAACATTAAAATCCCTAAGGATAAAATGGTAAAATTTCATTTCTAATTTTTATGTTTTTGCAAATGATTTGGGAAAAAACCTTTTTGTTTTTTTTTTTAATTTGAATATTTTCTTTCAAATTTATCAATTGAAGCTTACGTACATTTTTGCAGAAGAAACAAAAACTCATACATAATATTTTTCTTGGAATTCAAAAGAAAGCTGAATTTTTGTTTTTGGTGTCTTCCATCGCTTAGGTATAATTTTAAGAGAACATCGCCCATTTGATTTATAATTCAATTTGTGAAATTTGTGCATAGTTGGATTGAGGTGATTCAAGTGTTTTTCTCTTTTTGTTGTTTTTTGAAAACGGTCAAGGACATGACAATTGTGTGTAAGCATTTTTTTTGTAAATTAAAAAAGCCAATTTTTTCAAATTTTGTTTTTATGTTTTCTTTGTAAGTTTACAACATGGATTTTTGGAATAATTATTCCAACATACAAATTTTTGGAATAATTTTTAAACAAGTGCTAGAAGGTAATATCTTCAGTAATAATAGTCAATAGCAAACGCGCTATTTCCAAAAAAATTTTAAAGAGAAGAAGTTTGAAAAGCCGCAGTCAAATTATAGATTTTCTTATAGTTGCTTTCTGGCATATTAGAATTTCAAAAAACTATTATTTTTCTTTATATCGTTTATAGTTTTTGGTCTTAATTATTGTAGGATGCAAAAATATGGTGCGATTAAATCCAATAATGTAATAATGTAATCACTTACTCAGTCAAGTAATTTTATTTACACACAGTAAAAAGTTAAGAATTATCAAAGAATTGGGCCTAATTTTTTTTTACGTTGCTCCTATTACAGTTGGTCAAAAAATTTTCATAATTGGTTTTAATTTGTTTAGTAACGTTCTGGCATATACAGTCAAGTTGTAACGCCATTTTGCCAGAATGGGGATGATTTCATTTCATCTGCACAAATTTTTCACAGATTTAAAGCAGCTGAATATTATTTCATTGTAATACAATTCAAATTTTATTCTTTCTTAAAATGTTGGCTCCCTAAAAGTATGCAAAATCTTTTTTTTTTTTTTTAATTTTGAATCGTGTTATGTGAAATCATAAACACTTCACACCCTATTCTTCTTTTTTTCAGGTGAAAAATTTTAATGACGTTAAATGAGTGAAAAATCATTTATTGTCATTGCTATAATTTTAATTTTAAAATAAGTTTTATTGATCCTGAAGCTCATTTACAAAACTTAAGTGTCCTTCAACTGGGGACGGTTTTTTGCCATTTAATTTTTTCTTGTTGTGCATATTTCTGCAATAATCAACAGAAAACTGCTAACGTAAGCTCTTAATAGCAATAACTTTAACAAAAGCCATAATTTTCATATTAAAATTAAAAATTTAAATTAATAAAAGTCTTTAAATATTTTCACCCCAAAAAAAATCGTACAAAACTCAATAAAAAGTTATTAAATACAATAAAAAGTTTAGAAAATATTTTTTTTTCGTTGTTATAAGAAGCAAAGAGAATAAGGAATAAAATGAGGCAGAGGGAAAAGGATGAAGTTTGTTTGTGTTTTTATTTTTTTTAATGAAACCAATAAATTTTAAATAAGATAAACTTTTAATTGTAAATAATATCTTTAAAAAAGAATTTTTACTCAATATTTTATGTATGTACAATGTAAACATATGAATACACTCATAAACATACAAACTTTTCTCTCTATAAATTTTTTATTTACTGGAAGTCTTAAAGTATGATTTTCATTTTTTCCATATTTTTATTTTTTATTTTTTTATTTTAAAGAATTTTCACAATAAAACAAGTATTAAATTTTAAGTAAATATTTCTTATAGAATTATAAAAATCCTTTTTCATTAAATTTTCTTTTCCTGACCCAAAAGGAAATATTTTGTTTTTTTTCTTTTTCCTGTTCTTACTTCTGTGGTTGCCATGAAAATTATTGCGGTAGAGTTTTTCTTTTTGAATAAAAATTGCGGATATTCAAGTCACGCAATAAAACAAAAAAAAATGAAAAATATAAAATATAACAGAAAGAAATCAAAAAATGGAAAAAGTAAAATTAATGTGAATAGCATACCCAATAGTATAAATAAGAAGCGACCACATTTTAATTTTCATTGATGCTTTTAAAGTTGGATGTTTTTATCTATAGAATAAGAATATAATCAGTGAAATCAAAATCCGTGCAATATACTAAAATAACCCTAACATTATTATTATGTAAAGAATTTTACGGTAGAACTTTTTTTAAGGATTTCTAAACTTTCTGATTTTCAAATAAAATTGAATAATTTTTGTTTAAAATTAAGTTTTGTGAATTGTTTTCGGTTTGAAATCAGAAATAATTTGGAGGGCTTAGTAGAGAGAAGAAATCAAAAATTTGAAACCCTGTAGATCTCTTAAAATTATTACTACTAATATTATAATTAAGCATATAATTGAAGAATGTTTGCAGAGAAAGAAATAGTTCACTAGTTCGAATCCAGGGCAAGGCGATAATTTGGTTTTGAATTTCATTGCCTTGGATCCTATTTTCCTAAAAATAAATTCTTTATTTACGTAAAAGCAACAATGAATATTGATTTTTATTGAATTTTTATTCAAAATATAAAGTTTGCCGTGAAAGCAGCAGTAAACAGATCGGTATTTTATTTACTGGTTCTATAACTCTAGTTTGATAATTTGTGAAGAAATTTCTTGATCGATTTTTGGATTTTAAAACAATGGCCCTTTTCTCAACCAAAGAACAATAAAAAAAAAAAAAACAAATCTTCTTCGAAAATCTTTCTTGAAAATTATAACTTTATGAAATTTACATTTTTTTCAGGTATTTTTCGTAATTCATTTTTCTTTTTTATTGGAAAATCATCTTAGTTAAGTTTTGAGCCCGAAATTCGAATTGAGTTTTGCAATATTAAAAATCAATAAAAGGGAGAAATTGTGAATAATAATTTTTAAAATTTTTATATGATATTTTGAGTAATACCAACAGAAATATTATTGAACAATATTTGTTGCTGATTTATTTGAAAACCACTATAGTTTTCCAAAAATTTCGAAAATATTTTAAAAACTCTAAAACCAAATAGTAAATTCAATGCATTTCCAAGCACTATTGTTTATAAAATTTGTATTCAAAGAGTCAAAAGCAATTTTTTTCTGAAAATGCTAGAGCAAAATATTTGAACTTGATTTGTTACAACTCTATTTGTTGCGTACTCTAATACGCAATACAAACAAATTTATTTGTAACCTAACCTTAAGAATTGTACCTATAGTAGTTACTATATAGCACGTTGTTCTAAATATTTGTGATTTTATAAACAATGCTTTTTCGCACTTTCTGCTCATTCCAACAATTCTCAAATATTGTCCTTAACTTGTGTATAAGTTATTAGAAAAATGCTATAATGGAAAACTTTAATTAAACAAGGATTTTAAAGTAAGACTGGATAAAAATATATTAAAAAAAATTTTTATTTAGCATCTTATGACTGTGTTCGTCATACTGAGTTGTTGACACTTATTTTTTCCGAATAATTTTATATATTCAATTAAGTAAATTCTAATTATCAACAGAATAGATTTAAGTGTTAAAAATTTGTATTAGAATCATATGGAATAAAGTAAATTTAATATAAGATTCCTTATTAGAATAGAATAAAGATTGAAAATTATTCTATCAAAAGACAAAATTAAATAGCCCGCATCACCTCACATACACAAATACAACAGAATTTATAAAGGTTTAAAGATTTTTTTCGTTGCTTTTAGTTTTAAGATAACATTGTCTTCTTTATACATATAAATATGTATATCTGTTGATTTCCATTGAATGTACTTATGTATATAATATAATAAAATTTGAAATAATAAAAATATTTACTTTTCAAGTTCATACATTTTGTTCCAGGAACAAAATATTTAGAGAAAGGATAGAATATTAAATCAGAATCTTAAATTATTTGAACATTAAAAATGTTGGATACCAGCAATACTTTTATTATTATACACTCTATTATATTAATGCATTAGATATAGATTTATTAAAGCATTAGCTGAATAAAAATATACAAGCACACTCATGTGTTTTCGATTAGTTTATATAATTGTATTCGTGCGAATGTTATTTAAGGGATATTTAAGTATAATTCTGAATTTATTATGAAAATATTAAAATTATTCAATTCTTATCATTCTGAAATGATATAAATTCTAAGTTATTATTATATAATTTTATTAAGTTTTTGTAGGTTGCAGAAAATAGTTTCGAAAGAAAATTTTTATGCAATTTTTCTTTAAGAAGATGAAATTATTTTCCATTAATAAAAATTATCTTAGCTTAGTTTAGAAAGTTGACTTTTGTTCATTTATTAGTTTTTGTGTCCAGTGAATTCGTTTACAAGTCTTTTATGCTTATAATGATGCTGAGCTAAAATTTTATAAACAAATGAATGCATCTTAATGGCACGATAATTTTGCGAAAATAGAATCGGCTCTGTCCTTCAAGTTATAACCATCCAAAATTTTAACAAAGCAATTATGCGAGGGGCGTTGTAGCCGTAGGTAATTTCTCAACTCCAAAAACGAAAACAAGCGACAAATTAGGTGTTAAATCTAATTTATTTCTTAGCGTCAGAATTTTTAATTATCTCCTTATTAAACAATTTTTATACAATTCAATGGAATTTTTCTAAATTCACCGGAATTTTAAATTTTAAAGGTTTTTATATTGCAGCACAATTTTATCGTTTTTATTTTCCTCCCGTATTTAGATAAATTGACCGGGTCGTTTAATCCAGGGGGCTCTTTAATCCACCAATATCTGAGGTGCTTATACCTTTCTGGATAATGATTCACAGCAACAATTTCAAATTTAAGAAACATTTTCAAATTCCAGTTGAATTTAAGAAACATTTCGAAACTCGAATTGTTCTAAATTCGAGAAAAACTTATGATTTCTCCAAACAAAAATAAAATCAACTTTAAAACTTTACTAATAATAAAATATGAAGTGGTACAATGTCCTCTTTCGATATCTCAAGGTAGTTGAATTTTTACGACTCAAAATATTGTAATACGCACGTATGTATACGACGCCTACGTACATACTTATACGTCACATAATTTTTATTTCGAATATCTTTTTTAGTTCACAAAAAAATTTTAATAATATTTGTTTCTAAATAATATCATTTATCCTTATCCTATGACATATGTAAGTGATATTATGAAAACCTCTCTCAATTATTATTTTATAAATAAATTAATTTTTTCTCAAATATGTACTGTTGTGTGTATCTCGTTCAAGTTACATTATTCGTATGGAGTTGTTAATCTCTCATCTTAAAATATTGTAAAAATAATTTATTATTATTTTTTTGTCTTACGCTTACACCGTTATATATTTTGACACCTTCTCATATTTATAACGGTAATTAATCTCATTATATTTGACAGTGATCGACATTAATACTCAAACATATTAAAATATTATTGCCATAATAATGTAAAGATATTAATTTCTTAAAGGTGTTTTAAATTTATAAAGAAAATAAGGAAATATAGATAGTATGGAATAAAGATGAAATGAAGAAATTTTCCTGAATTGAAATTCTAGCATATTTAAGAGATTTTCTGTGAATGCTGTTTTGCAAGTATCAGTAAATTTCATTGAAACTTGATTTCCGCTGTCGGGTTATTTTGGGAAAAATTTATTAAATATTACAATTTGTAAATAAAAGGCCGAAAATGTATTTGTGTCAAGAATACAGTTGGAAACTTTTGAATTTTTGACGGCAATTTCACTCAAATATCAGACAACAAGAATGTATAGGCAATTAATCTCATTTAACTTACATTTCTACAATGATTAAGATATATTGGTTACCTAACTCTATGTAGCACATATTTATAGGTTCTTTTCGAAAATTTTGTAATTAGCTTATCTCATTTTTCTACGTAATTAGTTTTGCTCAGAAAACCATTCCAATAAAATGAAATTATTTTATAATTAATTTTGAAATTTAATTAATTTTTATATCTTTCTTATATGATCAAATACTTAAAAATTAATTTAAAGAAAAAAAAAAACCAATTTCTTAATTAAAAAAAAAAATTATTCCTTTTTTTTTTCTAGAAATATCAAGAAGCTTTCCAAATGATGCCGATAAAAGGTTAGATGGTTATATAATAACAAAATTGGGTAATTTTTTACAATCATTATCATTACGTTTCAAATTATCGGATAATTCAGAAATAGAAGATGCTAAATCTGAATTTGCTGGACGTAGAAGTAATAAAATTGGTAAAAAAGGTGGTTTAGAAGCAATTATTGCAGCTGGTATGATGATGAAAGGTAAGTTTTATAATGCATTGTATATACAGTCTTTGTTTGCAATTTTTATGATAAAATGTGAATTTTGTTTTCATTCTCTTACTTAAATGAAGTGTAATAGAATTGCAAGTTGTAAAGCTTATTTGCAAATTCCCTTAAATTAGCTTTTATTGTCATTTTATGGAAATTTAATTATGATGATTTCAATACTTAAGAATATTGGCTTTTTGAAAATTTGTTTTAATTTGCTCTAAATAACCTAATAAGGACAATTCATACTGAAACCCGATAGCAAAGAAAATTAAAACACAATGGCCTTATAAAATCCATTGTTTTTGGAACAAAATTACTCGCTTTCACAAATTGCAATTTGGAACTATTATATTAAAATTCTCAATTAACATTTGTAAGATTAATAATGAAGGCGAATAGTTTAAGATTTTCAGATTTATTTTTGTAGTAGTTAAACTCAATAATTTAGCAGGCATATTCAAAACACTTAAGAAATCTTTCAAATTCCAACTTAAATTTAATATTCTACAGGACGCTTTTAATATATTTTAAATTTGTTATGAACATGATTTTAATTGTAACAAAATTTCATTTTACAAAAGGTTTTACATATAAAATTCGTAACGTATTTGAAATTTACAATTTAAGTAAAACGCAAAAGGATTAATTTAAAAATTTCTTTTGAAAAATGATGGGAAATAATAGACAAAAATTGTTAAATTCAAAATATTTTCCTTTTTTTTGTATCCTTTTTAGTTTGTATCTCTAAAATTTCATTTTTAAAAAAATGTTGTGCGATTGAATCATTTATTTAATAAATTACATATACTGTCCATTTACATAACTAAATCGTGACCAAAATAAAATCCAAAATATAATTTGGTTACAAAAAAAAATTTTGAACAAGAAAAAAATTATACTTAAAAGGACATTTTTTCCATTATCTTTTATACATTTTTGGTGTTTCCTTTTACGAATTTTCAACTCTTTATAGAATTAGAAAAAAAGAACTGGCAATGAGGACTGAAACAATTTTTTTATGTAAACTTTGTTGAAGCAAATATATTTTAAGAATACGTGGGTATTTTTATATTTTAACTGAGTTAGGGACATCATATGTTTCCTTTTTTTTCTGGTTGTTGTTATTAATGTTTCATATAATTTTTGTATTATTAATTTGAATATTAAATTGATTACTTTTATTTTTCTTCTTTATTTTCTATATATAGGAATGTTATTTACCATAGCGATGGGTGCTTTAGCTGCTTTAGCTGGTAAAGCATTAATGACCGGTTTAATGGCATTAATGTTATCAGCTATTGTTGGACTTAAAGCATTAACATCTGGTGGACATAAATCAACAACATATGAAATTGTTGCTAAACCAGTACATCAAGTTAGTCACTCGCATTCAGTTAGCCATGAAGATTTTCATGGTGGACATGGTCATAGTGGTCATGGTGGTCATGGTTATAGCGGTTATGGAAGATCATTTAATATTGTATTGCCAGATCATTTAAAAGATCCAAATATTAAATAATAAAATAATTAAAATAAATTAAAGTATTAGATAGAATAATATTTGATAATTTTTGAAAAAAATTTGAAAAATTTTATAATGATTGGAAAAATTTAAGTGTGTATCTCATGAATTTTTATTTAAATTGGAAATATTTATTTATTTATGTAATTTATTTTAATTTATTGAAAATAAAACAGATTTTAACAATAAATGAGTGATCTTATCTGTCTTGAATTTCTTGAGAAGCAAAAGAAGAAGTAAGTTATATGGGTTTTAATTTTTTCAAATACATTTTTGCGTGTTTCAAATTTTGGCTATTACCTTATTCCTTTTAGATGTACATATTTTGGTTAAGCTTATATTAATAAAATTAAAAACCTTACATATTTTTAAAAACAACTTTACTTTTATATTATTTCACAAACGAAATGAACAGAGACTGCTATAAAATTCAGGAAATGATTATTCAGGATCTATTTCAACATCAGATTCACCACGTCGTATACCGTAACGAACATATTTACCTTTCTTATATGACCATGACATCATATTACTTGTAAAATAAATACCAACATTAGCATTTCGATCAATTGTTATAACTCCTGCATCCCATTTCAATTTTCGAAACATTTCATTTAAAACATATTCACTAGCTTCTTGAGCTGTAAACGATTTATGTTCAATAAGTTGAAGAATCTTTTGGGCAACATTAAATTTCATTATGGCTTCACCATGACCAGTTGCAGATACTGCACCTAATTCATTATCAGCATAATTTCCACCACCTAATATTGGTGAATCACCAATTCGACCTTGTAATTTTCCAGTTATTCCACCAGTTGATGTTGCAGCAGCAACATTACCAAATTCTTTAAATTAAAATATTAAGGCAAAAAATTAAATTCTTTTTACATCTTATGCATAGAATAAATAAAAGTTGAATTTTTACCATCAATAGCAACAGCACCAACAGTTCCAGGTTCACCAAATTGTTTTTTCCACATATAATTTTTATTTAAATCAAAAATTGTTTCATTTAAACTATTTTTATAATCTTCTAATGCTTTTTGTGCTCTTTTGGTAACTAAAGCCCCCGGTGGTAGAATTTCAAAATTTTCATTTTTTGCAAAATTCATTAGGCCATCACCAGCTAAATAAGTATGCCTAGTTTTATACATAACATGCCGGGCCAATGAAATCGGATGTAATATATTTTCGGCTAATGAAACACAACCGGCATCAAGATTATATCCATTCATTATTGAAGCATCCATTTCAACAGTACCATTCCAAGTTAGAACACTTCCAAAACCAGCATTAAAATATTCATCGATTTCCATACTACGGACAGCTTCTTCAACAGCATCCAAAACATTACCAGTTTCCAATAATTTTTTATATCCGGTTCGTGCTGCTAATTTTACACCTTTAAGCTTAAATGGGATCGATGAAATAGAAATATCACCTGCTCCGCCATGAACAAGAACAATTGGTTCAAATTTTCTCTAAAATATTCAGTTTAATTTAATTATAAGTGTCTTAGAAAATGTTGTTATTCATTTATGTACCTCATGGCAATAAACCTCAATCTTCGACAATAAAATGCATGATAGTAGTATGCAATTAAGAAACGACTTTAGCTAGAATTTATTAAAGTAAATTATTGTTGACATTTTAATAACAAAAATTAAACCCGATCGCAATAAAAATTATTTTATGTTTACAAATCAACTTACGATCATATTTGATTTTACTGTGCTGCGTACCGTGCGACAACTAAATTCAAACTAAATCTGATAATTTAATATTTAGTGATGATAAATTGGAATTTTTTTACCGCTATAATCATTATTAATCAAATAATAGTTTAATATTTATGCCGTTCGATATGTTATCAATTGAGAATGAATTGTATGTTCTTACCAACTATAGGATAATAAAATATATTGATTATGAATTTCAAAATTTTTTGAGATGGTAAGTAGATACAAGATTTGAAAAATTTTATAATTTCAAACAGATTATAGACTCCAGCTCGACTCATTTTTTTGTGGAATTAATTCGCAAGTACATTATTTTCCGACTGATTTATGTATATTAAAAAGTTTCAAGATTTTCGATAAAACAAATAGAGGAAATTTAAGCACTATTATGTTTACATGCTAATGACATTCATAACACCGTTTGACTTTTAATTGATCTATGTATTTATTGCTCATGGGTCGTTTTGTACATGTTATTTTTGCAAGGTTGCAATTTTTAATTAAAAATAAACAATAATTGACTTATCTGCATTCGTACAATATTATAAACGGAAATTCATTTTTGTTTCAAGTCCCACCAAATATAGAATTTTGTTTTTCATATAAAGTTTATAAGTGCCACTTAAAAAATTCAATGATCTTTTTGAAATTCGCTTATAAAAATTGATTATCTATTTTACAAACTAAAGCACAAAACGTCCATATACATTATTGGAAAAGTAGTAGAGTAGACGCAATTATTTTTATTAATATTAAGTTGTGCAAATCTTTGATTTGTTATACAGATTTGCTAAAAACCAAAATAAAGAAAAGCAGAGTCGAGATCATAAAAAATTACTTATGAATACTCAAGCTAATTTTTGAATTTTTGTTATGATCTATAGTAGCCATTACAATTTTTGTTATAATTTGTATAACAAAAGAAAAATATTGGTTTTTGCATTCTATATTATTATTATACCGGACTCGTAACTAATATTAAACTAAAAATTTAAAATGATCCGCGTACTCTTATCATTTCACATACATTTTAACACAATATGTATGCGATATTAAATCTATAATATATCAGAGGAAATATGTTATGTGTATATACCACTTATATATATATATTGCTTCAACTCAACTTACTTATACTAGCACTCTTTATAAGGTCTGTAGTGCTAAAAGTTATTTAATGTTTAATCTTTAATGAATATTGCTTTATCTATTGATTGGATAGAAAAATTGAGATATTTTGAGAGCAAATTTTTGAAAAAGTTTTGAAACGGCCCTACATCTCTTATTATTTGGACTTTAGAGAGAAATCATGTTAAAATATTTTTTAATAAATTCAAACATTTTTTTTTTCTTTTCAAGTAAAGGAAGACTAATAAATAAGTTGTTGATCTATTGGACTTTCACTTAATTTTATGCAAAACATAAAATTAATCAACATTAATTTATAAAGTTTTTAATTTAATTTTTAAAAAATAAATTCGCAAAATACAATTCGCATGACATTCCGCAATCCGCTTATTCTCTAAAGATTCTCTAAAAAGAACAAAATAATTGTTGTAATAAATTGTTAAATCTATTTAATAGATTCTAATATCTGTAGAAGAAAATTTTTACTCCAATATTCGAAAATGTTTATGAATTTCGAAATGTAACTTGAATTAGCAGTTTCAAAACGATTGATTTTTAAATAGCTCTAGTTGTTTGTTCAAATATAATCAAATCCTAATCAAAACTAATTTTTCAATGTTTTTGTATTTAAGCTTCTCAATATAATTTTAAATTCTTTTGAAGCTCGAGAAGAGTTTTCTTTACGAAAGTATAAAAATGTGCTTCTCTATAACTACTATTTTGGAGAAACCTTTGTTTTTTAAATTATTTATTAATGATTTTCGCATATATTAAACATTAGTTTTGAATTAATTTAGAAAATGAAGTAGTAAAAAATTTAATTAATTTTCTGAAAGAAAGAGCAACTGGAAAGTTCACGTATATTAATCGAATCTTGTTAATAATTTAAATGCACATTTTTTTTGTTTTCTGAATAAGACACTTTGTGTTTGCATTAAACTTCCTTATATAAGTGCTTCACAATGTGTTGCTAGCCGTAAATAGGTTTTATTTAGAAGAAATATTACGAAAATTGTAAGAATAGCTTCTTATAAACAATTCTAGTCCTTGCCAAAATAATTTTATTCCTGCCTTTTCACCTTTCTTATATGACATACATTAGCATAACTGACATCCGTAAGAGCATATCTTTTCCTTTTCAAATAAGTTTGCAGGTACTAATATTATTATTACACAAACAGGCATGAAGGAAGATATTTTGGTAAGTGACAATTGCGATATTTGAATAATTGAGCCATTAAGACACAAATAGAGTTTTTGACGTCAAGAAAGCGTCAATTGGAAAAAAATTACGCAAAAGAAAAGTCGAAATTAAAAAGGCTTTTAATTAATTTGTGAAATACAAAAATTATGCATCATAACATACGTAAACTTTTGAAATAAAATTTTATTTTCCACAAAAATTATTTTTAAAATTTTACAATTTATTACAATTTTTTCTAAATTCTTTTTGGGTTTTTCAGAAAAAAGCATGGCCATTCAAAAAATAAAACTAGTTCTATATTGGAAAAAATTTATTTTAAAATATTTTACCGGCTTTTTTATTAATTTTGTAATCCTTTTGGTGAGTAATGAGAAATCTAATATAGATTTAAGTTTTGAACAGGGACGTTGTTATCTTTTATTAAATTGGGTACTGCAAAACAGAACTTTTGTACGATGCAAACCCTATCGTAAGTCTGAAGGGAACATTCACATTTATTAAGCGAATCTCCGAAAGAGTAGAGAACAAGAACATTGGAGTTATTTTATACAATCGAACGATTGCTCAAATTAAGCATTGCCATACTTATGTCAGTGGTGCAAAGCTATGAAACATCACTTGCGCATTTAATTACTAGTAACTATTATTATTTATAAGGATGAGAAGAATGTTATTAGAATAAATGAAGTGTTTTACTTAAGACAGAATTGGATAAAATGATGATAGAAAATCTGAATGGATTCCAAAAATAATATAAATAACTTGCGAAAAGATAGATAACCTATGCATCTGATCGAAAAGCTACTAAATGGGGTGGTGAATAAAATCATTCCATTTTAATAAGAAACTTCACAAAATTTATTTATTAAGTTAAAAACACAAGCAATTCAAATCGGTAATCAATTACAAATTAGATAAATGTGATGAAATGTGTGTGTATATTTTGCCTAAACTTTATTCGAATTTTTATTAGGTTATATTTAATTGATAATGTTAAATTCGAATTATTTATCCAATTTTGTATTTATATGAAAATGTTGGAGTCAATTGCTCAACTGTTTCAGAATCTCAACTTGAGCTCTAAAAAATTTTGTTTATTTTATCAAACATAAAAAGGCTTTAAACCTAAGATTCTAAAAACAAAACTGAGTTAATATTTATTCAAAAACAATCTGTTTAAAGTTGCTGATTCGCCCCTGAAATATTTTCAATATTTAAAATTTTAGTTTAAGAAAACATTAAGCTTAATATCGTATTTTATTTTATGAATTTGATTGACAGATTTGTATAACAAACACATATGCAACAGTCCTATAACTTTTCTCACTTCACTCATTTAATGTTTTTATTGTTTGTATACATGTGTATCGTGTAGGTATGTATATAAAATTTGTTTCTCATTTCTTATTTTTTTGCAATTTATTACGAAATTTAAAAAAAAAAAAACAGATGAAAAACTAGTTTAAAGTTTTGCTTTTATTTCACATGCTTCTTTTTGTATTTAATTCCGATAAACTCGACAGTTTATTCGAATTTCGATTTAGTTCTGTTTAGTTATGTCAAGCTCACGGTCAGAATTTTAATTTATTATTTATAAAATTTAATAATATTTATTAAATAAATTATTTAGTTATTTATATAAAAAAGAAGGTTTTTCAAAACACAAAAATAATGTTAATTGTAAAAAATCAAATAACAATTTTAGCGTGTACGGTTTTATGTTTATTTGTAAGTTAAAAATTATGTAATAATTAAATATAACCTTATTATATAATATGTATAGCACCTTATATAAAAGTGTATTTGAGATTTTAAGTAGAATATCATAATTTTTTTTCAAAAAAATATTTTAATAAAGTGCTTTTATATTTTTCTTAATTTCATTTAAAGGTGATTGCAGTTGTTACTATTAAATTAACAAATGCAAAATCAATTTCAAGAGTAGATAAAAGTCATACATTAAAACGAAATTTGAATAATAGATTGTCAAATTTTATTAATGAAACAAATTCAAAAAATATTAGAGAAGCAATTAAAAAATTTCAATTAAATGATCATTACAATCCATATAATTTTCAATTAAAAAAGAATTGTACAAAATTAGATAATAAAATTCATAAAGTTTTCAAAATACCAGCAGAATTTTATGAAGATCCACCAGGCGAAAATTCATTATATGGATATGAAGTAAATTATTGTTGCTGCTGTGAATTACCACATCCTATACCAAATCAATTAAAAAGTAAGTTAAATTTTAAATTGAATTTTGAATAATAATTACACAGACTGTAATACTGACATAACTCAAAATTTGTTCGAATATGTCAGTGTTACAGTTGCTCTTGTTTGCTGCAACACTGACATAACTCGAATTTTAAAATTTTCGAGTTAAAATTTTTTTCTCCTTATAGAATTACGAGTATGTTTTTATAATTAAATGTAAGAGACAATTTTTAAGCTGGAGGAATTAAATGCCTTATTTATGCAAAAATAACTCGAAATATAAAAATCTTAATTTTTGAGTTATGTCACTGTTGCAGCAAGTGAACGATATATATTACATAAAAGCTTTATTAGAAACATGTGCAAATTGTTAATTTTTATGTTATTAAAGAGAATTTCGGCATGATCTTTTAGCTTATTAATTATTAATCTACCAAATATGCACATTCATAAAGCATAAATCTGAACTCGTGACAGTGAGTAATTTTTTTTCCCAGAATCACTTATTATTTAATTACTAAAGTGTAATTATGTAATTATATAAAAAGAAATTAAGAAATTGTAAAATCATAAATTGTAATTTGATATACACACAAGTTCTCGTGGTTTTTTTTTCATATTTTATATTATAGTTTTTTAATATTTTGTATACTACATACATGATTTCTTCAAGTTATTTTTTCCTCTTATTAATTATTCAGCTAAAAAATTATGAATACATTATATAAGGTAACAAAATAATAAACCAGTATTAATAAACTTTTGGGTACAAAAAAAAAAATAAAAAAAAACATGTTTTGCTTAAAAGCTCAATTATTCTAATTTAAATTTTACCGGGTAATTGTTTATATTTTTTAATACAAGAAATTCGACAGTCGATTTACTCGTAGTAAACTATAATGCTTGGAACATAAAGACTAAAATATTTTCATTAATTTCAATTCAATAATAAATTTCCATCAAGTATTTTGAAAAATTTTTCAAAGTTGCTGATACTTTGAATTTACAAAACGAGTATGTATGTATAATATATGTCTGAAAGATATTTCTGTATTTCTATATTTATTTAAAAAATGGTCTGGAATTCTTTCAAATATTTAGAAACTATACTATGAATAAATTCCATTTAATTGTCACGCTCTTCGTTATAATTTAAAAATTATTCGTAAAATGCAGGAAATATTAGATATGGCCAACACATAAATGGCCGTAAAATGTATTTTCTGATTTGGTTGCACAAAAAAATGAAATTCTTTTAATTTTTGAGCAAACTAGTTACTTTTAATTAGCATACTTTTAAAAATTGTAAATTCTTTCTTGGTAGAAAATATTTTAATGCCATCCTAATTCCCTAGAAACTGGTTTGTCAACTATTTTCGTTGCAAAACGAAACTCAAAAAAAAAAATAAAAAAAAATGGTTCCATGAATTAGTTTTTTATTTAGAATTCTTAATTAATTATAGTCAAAAGTGCAAAATCGGCCCCTATTAAATATTTAGTATCCACACCCTGATATTCACGAAAAATTTTATTAAAAACAAACAAACCGGGTAGAAATTATTTGAGAAAGATGTAAATTTAAAAAGGTCCAAAGTTAAAGTTCGGTGACTTGTCATATTGTCAGTATTGCGAATTTCAAGAAAATCTATTCAATATTTTTTAATATAGTGATCAAAATATGAAATCGTACTAAATCCCGATATCAGAAATATCACTAAAGTAAATCAATTCATGAAAAATCCAAAGTTAACCCTGATACAACTTGTCATCAAAAATGGTTCAGCCGAAATTATAAACACGGGTACATACACAGATCGGCAGACTGACATCTCCCTAAAAATGTTTTATTTAGGCTTAAGTGAATTGCATTTCTGTCGAAAATTTCAATGCAATATTTTGTGCCATCACATAACCCAATCTATTGTATGCAATGCAATCAAAATTAAATTAATCAAAAAATGACTCATGAAACTTTTCAATTGATTATTTTGTGAAAAAAATATTTAATTAAAAAATTCATCTTGAATTAAATTGTAAATTTCTCTCAAAAAATATTTTTATACTTCTCAATATTTTTTCCAACTTTTTGCATGATCATTTCTGTATGATGACGTTATGAGTGTTCATACAAAAATTTAATTAAAATTTATTGAAAAGTTGTTGAAAGTTTCAATGTTGACAATTTTACCGTCAACAATTCAATTAATTAAGTCAGATTATTTTTAATAATCGAAATTAGTAGAATCTTTTCAAATGAAATAAAATTGAAAAGTCCCAATTTATTTATTTGAATTTTTTGATATTTTTTTGTACGTATGAATTACAATTAAATTTATAGAATATATTTTTCAAATTCATTTAGATTTAATTAAAATTAATTAAATATAGATTAAAATATTACAAATTATAAAATTTATATTTTTTTGTAAAAAATGTAATAAAAAACAATTATTTATGAATAACATAAATTTTTATGAAGTTTATGACATGTTTCGACATATAAATTGTTTCAAGGTAAATTACACAACATCATAATGTCACGATAAAATAAATAAAAGGAGTAGAAAAAATTAAAATCTCTTATATGCAATACCTGTTATCTGTTATACAGAATCTTCTATACAAAATGTTCCGTAATTATTTTTATAATTTTATGATTTCCCTAATTATAAATGCAAACGTCATTGTAAAATTCTCACAATGTATTTTACTCACTTTAAATTTGTTGGTAAATGATTTGATTGTCATGTTGTTTTTACAAAATTGTTGTTGCTATGTGCAAGTGAATGAAAATGTTGACACTTATATGTGAAAAACAGCGCTCATGAACTTTTTAGTTATTACATTTCAAGTCAAGTAAGCAAGATTTTGTAATTGAATTAAAAGAAGTCGGCTTCAAGCCAAGTAACATGCCCTTGAAGCTGTCACATAACCGAGGTAATAGATTTTTATAAACCAGAGGCTCCCAAACTTTTTTCTCTTGTAGACCCCTTGCCGTATTTTTTAATTTTTGATGGACCCCGTGCTCCTTTCTTTGATAGATGTAAATTTCAAACAGTAGCAGGGTACACCTATGATGTGAGAAAGTTATATAAAAATCTAATTTCATTAAATTCTTATTTTTTAATAGACCCATAGCAGATCCTCATGGACCCCTGGGGGTCTATATAGATCACTTTGGGAATCACTGTTATAAACAAAGCTAATATCCAAGTTCTTGAAAATTTTTCATATGAAACTAATTTTTATTAGTGTTCTGTTTCTAGGTGTTGTTTATAAAGAGGCCTATTTAGTAATAAACAGTAGCTATATTATAACAGCAGCCTCTCTATATAATGAATAATTAATGTAAATGTATTAGCGCACATTTACATTAATCTGTGTGTCTGTATTAGCGCACAAGGATAGAAAAATTTTTTTTACTTACTTTGTTGACTTGCAAATATTGTACGAGTTCTGTGTTTACCGATAATAAGTCTTATTTTCTAATTTTCGTAGTTTATTTTATAGAATCTTAACTGTATATTAATTTTTAGTATTATTTTAAGTACCTTTAAAATAACACGTTTATTTTGTCAATTTTGCTCCCACATATCATTAACATTTATCCTTACAGTAATTAGAACAATAAAACATTTAACAAAATTGGACTGCATATTTTTTAAAAAAAGAACATTGTTTACATTTTTACAGCATGATTAATTAAAACCAAAATTAAATGTCAAGAGAACAAAAAATATTGAAAGAATCGGCAGGAAGGCTTTTAAGGTGATTGCTGCTAAAGTTCAAAATTCATTTTGTTTTTCTTTGTTTATACCACAAAATTTTAAATTTTAAAGAGGTGTTAATTTTAAGAAGAAAAAGCAAAAAGAAAAAGTAATAATGGTTAATATGGGTAGACTTTTTTTATATATATGTAGGTAACTAACCTTGATAATTTTTCGGTATTAAAACAGGTTGTATTTTTATTTAATATTTTTTTTATAAATTTAATAAACAGAGAACTGAGCATGTTTGCGTCACATTTTTCTGCGTCTTCTAATAAAAATTTATTTCTTTTTTTTTAAAATTATTCAATTTTAATTATTATTTAATTGCCGATAAACTTTACAGCTTAAATTTCGAAAGAATTTTGATCATTAAAAAATGATATTTTCATAATAAATGTTAAGAACACAGACCTATATATGAGATACAATATGTACATATGTAGCATTTTTTATAAATTAATTATTATTTTTTATGAATCATTTCTAATCTAATTTTCTCATGAATTAGTTTTTAATGTCTGTCCTATTCACATGAACAGACTGTAATTTTTCTGAATTTCATAAAATTAAATTCAACAAGAAACGTGACCAATTCCACCGAAATATAAGGTTTCTCTGAATTAGTCTAAATGAACTTTTTGAGATGATCCTGTATGTATTGTTATTGTTATTGTCGCGATGATTTCAGATTGAATTTTTCATATTCATCTATAGTTGGGCCATATTAGTGACTAATAATATACTGTTTTTTAATTATAATAATTTAATATAAAGTATATTAACACACGTGTGTTCTTGAGCGTGCTAACAATTTAGATATTTTGTAATTAACACTTGTTATGTGTAATTAAAAGTATGTATTTCATATGGAATTTTTATAATAGAATTTTTACAGTATATTTAGTTTACACATTGAATTTTTACAAGTATATTGAAATAAGAGCTATACTAGGGAAACCCCTAATGCAAAACCAAATACTTAATATAGTTTTAAATATTTTTATGACTTTAGTGTTAAGTATTTTAAAGATTTTTATAAAATACGCCCAAGTCAACTTGTAATGGAAAATTTTTTATATACCCTTTCGCAATTATTAATTCACTTTCAGTTTCTAATTCTAAATAAAGTTTTTATAAATAAATTTAAACAGTTTTAATAAAAATTGATCAGACTATTGTTGCATTCAGACTTGTTCACTATTTTGAAATCATGAGGCAATTTAGTCAAATAGAAATTATTAAACAAACTATTTTAAATCGAAAAATTATAAAAATTAAAGAAAACAATAATTTGTATAGTAAGTTGAATTTAGCATTATTACTACACGAAAGTCAATAAGCTTTAATTTTGAATTAAAATCATAAAAATTAAATTTTTATTTAAGAATTTAACTTTTACGCTTTTATTAAAATTTTTTGAATACATATTTTATTCTCTAAAATAAAATTCAATATTTTTATTATTTCAGATTTTGGATCATCTTTTCCTAATTGCATACAATGTTGTGATGTTACATTTAAAGAATATACGGTAGCATTTGGTGTTATCGATAGGTTGTCATTAACAGTAATAAAAACTATTTTAGGTTAAATTTATGATTTATAAAGTATTAAAAATTTTTACTTGTAGATAGAAGTAAAATATTTGAAAATGAAATGAAATTATTATTTATATTTTTCTATTATTGTTTTAATAATTTTCACATATGCAATGTACCTAATATTATTTTATAATAAATTCAATAAAAATTCAATATGTATATATACATTGTATTTTATTATGTAAAAACTTCATAATACTTGATCTAAAAATGAAATATTTTAGTCAAATTGTAAAAATTAAAGTGAATAATGCGCTGAATTTCAGTTGAAGCTAAATTAATAAGGCTCACTCCCGGCCCAATGCCTATCCATTTGTTGAAAATTTTGATTTTTGATAAAAATTAAGTTTACCTCATTTTTAAGTTAATAAAAGTTATGAAGTCTGACCTTTTCGGGTTCCGAAAAATTTGATTTTTCTCAGTTTTGTTGTTATGCTCAACAGAAGAAATACAATTGTTTTTATTGAAAGGAAATTTCCTTTTATGTCCTTGTAAAATTGTGAGCTTTTTAGCCTAAAACTAAAATATTTGCGAAGTCTTAAAATTTTCTTAATCTTTGTGTTTAATTATTAAGTGGAAGCGCTTCTAAAGTGCGTGTGAATCGTGCAATTTTACAGCAATTCATTTACAAGTATGCATTCATTGTCTGTTCAAATGGCATATTTAAATCACCTTAGACATTATAGTTTGGGTTAGTTTAATACCAAAATTTACTATGATAGCTAAATTGTTACTACATACCGTAGTGTATTCAAATTATTTTCATTTTCTTAAAAATTTCTCAAAAAGAAAAAAAATTGCATATATTTTGGGGCACGAGAAAAATTTTCTACTTATCAATTTTTAGACCAGTTTCTATATTGCGCCGTATTGTAGGCAATTTTTAGATTTTTTTAATTTCATATGGCAAAAAAATTATTTTATTGGTGAATTTTGTGTTTTTTAGCAATTTAAAAATGGAATCTGCAAAAGGGTACATCAATTGTAAAAGTTTTAAAAACTAGTAATTTTTTTAACGTTTATGGCGTTGCATTAAAAATTAAATTTACTGTTTTATTTCCATTTAATTCACGAACCAAATTGCGTTGACGCTTTAAAGCTTTGATTTTGTTTTTAATTTTCCACAATAACAATTTTGTTTAGGAAGAAATTTGAACAATACTCATAGTGAACGTTCTATAAGCAATTGATTATTAAACAAATTCTCTTTTATCAGAAATAAATAATATAATTTTTAATTACGAATGAAAGTTCATTTACACTCCCAAAGTTGGAGTTATTTAGTTACTGGGCAGATCTTAGAGGAACTAGAGACAAAAGGCATTATGATAATGTTTTATCCGAATTATATTCATCAATACAGAGTGCTTGTGAATATATAAGGTTACATTTACTGATTTCATAATCTCCGGTCCCACTCGACTCCCTCAAAATCTACAATATACTGATTTAATCAGTACATTATCAGTAATAAGTCAATTTTTTTCTTATTTTAATTTTAAAATATTTATCATAATTTATTTTCCATTTCAAATCACACATTTTAGAATTAGCTATTGCTTTTATGTCTAACAATTTCAGGAAATCTGTTATGCACTAAAAGTACTAAAACTAATTTGAAAATTTATTTCAAAAATTAATTAAACTTCATCAGTTCTCTTTATTGAATATGCATTACGTAAACATACTCATCTTGTACCCTTATAGAATATGTTTCTCATTTTATCAAATCCTTTGATTATTACTTTCTAATAAAAGGAATAAATCAAGTCATAGTAACCTAATTTACTAATTAATTTTATTTTTTTTATATAAGAAAATCAATAAAATCAATTGGTTGAAAATGGAGAAAAAATTTATAAGAAATTTGTGTTTTTAATGTTTCCCAAATTAAATTTGGGGTATTTTTAAATCTTTGTATATAATTTTTCGATTTCGGAATATTGAAAGCCTTTTCATTTTAACCATGAATGTTAACATAATATTTTTGTATCTATGTAGTTATATTTTTGAAACAATTTGTACAATAAATCAGTTATCAACTAGAGTTCCTTTGAAAGTAAAGGATATTACATAAAAGAAAAGAAAATGAATGTCTACAAATTTTCGTAGGAAATTATTTATTATAATTACTATTGAAGTGATAACACTTTTCATTAATAAATTGAGTTTAATTTGGATTTATACAGGAAAATTATTTTATTATTAAGAAATTGATAAATGAATATTAATTAGCAAGAGATTCGTAAAATTTCATTCACAAAAAAGGATAATATATTTGTGTGTATTAATAAATTTCAACAATATAAAATTAAATAAATAGTGGCTAAAATGAGTATGAGAGGGTATACGGCGTAATTTATAATTTCTCATTCTGTATTCGAAGTATATCTGTAACGTTTGTGTACATAATCCGCATAGAATTATAATTGTATATAAGAACTGGTTAGCATTTCTATTTAAGATCTGTTTCGTTCCAGTCACCCTCATATTACTATTCGAATATACTAAAACTTCATAAAATGAGGAACAATGAAATATTTTTTTAAGTCGGCAATTTTTATTTTACTATTTTTACTTTTAAAATTGATTTTTATGTGTGTAAATCTCCAGTATTTTGTAATTAGGTACGATGTCTTGTTATTATTCTTATAAAATGTTGTAATATCTGGTACATATTAATCTACCATAAATGAATTTGATTTCATTAATTTTCTATAAATTGTACTTAGAAGAAAATTTTGAAATGAACTACTCTTAAAACAAAAGTTAGATCTTCATAAGGATTTCATGTTGAGATACAATTTTATATAGAACTGAGCTCAAATTTGTTGTTATGTTTTTGTGCTTCAGATGTTCTATAAATGGAAGTTGCTTAATTACTTTGAAGTAGTATGAATGGCATGTTATACTGTAAGGGTTTCTTTTATATAAACTTCTGGTCCAAAGATTATTTTCTATAATTGCTTATAATTACATTTATATATGTTGTTACGGGTATAAAGTAATTTATATATGATCAGAATTTTCAGATCGAATTAGAGTTTTCGAAAATTTGTTTCTTTGAAAATAATTTTATGTCACAGAAACAATTTGTTTTTGTTGTCCATCACGTATATTATTATAACAAGATTAACCTTTGTGTCAATGCCGTAGTTAATACCGAAAGACATTTACATATTTTTACAACGCTATACAAGCCGTAAAGTACAGCAAAATCTTCTAAATTTTTGATGCTATATATTTGACGGAATATGTTAAAGCATTCATTACTAAATTACTGTTCAAAGAATTTGTTAAAATACAGTCCAGATACAACTGTACTAAGCAATTCCTTTACGTTTTTCCAAAGCACTCTTTAATACAAGGATTTAGAAGTTGACTGTTTGCAATAATGTTTTACATTTAAAGTAAATTTGAATTTAATTAAAATATATTTAGTTCAATTGTTTACACTTTCAGTTACTTCCTAAAACTTTTTATTTTGTTTACCGATACAAAATCATTTTCAAGTATTCTGCATCATGTTTTTGCTTTCTCATCATGTATTTTTCATCAATTTTTCAAAATATTTTTACCAGGAATTGCCAACCGAAAACATAAAATACTTTCACGAATAAAATCTAGATTCTTATAATAATATATGTTTACATATATTTATATAAATATATATATACATATATTTATATGTATATATGTATATATGTATACATATTGTGTAGGTATATACAACTAAATTCGATTTAACCTTGGAAGAATTTGAATTTCTTAAATGCTCGCATTAGATTATCCAGGTTATGGTGACATATACATGGGTATATGTCAAGCCTTATGCTATGGTACATTATATTTGAAGAGGTATTTGTTTATTCAAGTCTAATTTGTGAAAGTGAGTAGAATAGATTTCGCAAAATTATCATTATTTTTTTCAAAATTTAAAAATTCAATTAATTTATTAATGAACTCCCTAAAGTCTGTTGTATTTGTTATGTCCAGGCATATATTCTTTTAACTTTGTTGCCAAATTAAGTTATCAGACCATTAGCAAGTAATTTTTTTCGCAATTTCTTATTTTACAAGCAATTGTAGTATACATAAATTGTTATACAATTGTTTGCGTTGACATACCAAATATTTAATATATCTATTGCATACATTCAGGATGAGCAAAATAAGATAGTTGAAAGAAACATTTTCATAATGGTTGAATTAGAAGCAAGTGAGTAAAGAAAAATAACTAAGAATTTAAATTTATAAAAAAATATGTAAAATATTGAAAAATTTTTTATTGTAGAACATTTAATTAGATTAAAAATAAATGTTAAAGCGTAAGTTCGATACAATTTCGAAATATAAAATATAAATTTTGCAATCTAATTGAATTTAATGTGCCTAAAATTCATAAAGCTTCAAATAACTGAAAATTTTAATTTTTATCTAATTTACTTAGACCTGATAACAATAATATTGTTGTAACATTGTAAAATTATGCGTATGAATTGGCTCTTGGGACTAAAATACAAATAATTGCAAAGTTCTTGTTAGTTCGGGAAAGCAAGTACATATTTTGATCGTTTAAGTTAATCACAATAATAATTCACAGTTTTCAAATATTATGAGTAAGAAGAGTGGCGTAAGCTACAAATAAAAAAAAAATTTTTTTTTGCTGAAATCGGTTATGTACACCTTCTAAAATCAGTTATATTAGTTTCCAGTTTCGAAATAGCATTTTTCCTATTTATTTTTCACAAAAGTACTTTTGCTTTTTTAAAAATTTTCTGATTTTTCAAAAGCAAAGTGGCATAACCAACATTGTGGCATACGCCACTCTCCTTTGAGCCCCTCGTATATTTTATGCCAAGTAGTCATATTTATTAGAGCATATTGTGTGCATTTAAATTCCACGGTAGCGACTCGGTAAATGGCGAGAATATTTTATTGTATCGCAATGGGCCCTGATTAATCTTAAAATCACAATAGAAGAAAATTTCAAATAAAACATTCTTTTTTTCAACATAGACACTTTATTTTATATTAGGAATTTAATTGTTGGATCAATAAATAAATAAATAAATTAAATAAATTATTTACAAAATTTATAATATAATAATTAAAAAAAAATTTTTGGTTTATGTTTTTTGTTTCATCTAGTGATTTGAAAATATACGGTGAACAGTTTAATAATAGTTATTACTATATATATATATAATTTCTACTTCATTCAGATTGCAAAATAAAGCTATTTATAATAATTTTTGATTTTATAAAAAAAAAATAAAAATAAATAATATATATTGAAAAAAAAATTATTATATATAAAATTTACAAGTATATTATGTACTTATACAAAAATTATTACTTTTATTATTGATCTAAACTTATTGTATAGGTATAAAATTTAAAAAAAAATGCTTTTCAATAATATAATTTATTAAAAATAGAAAAAAAAATAATTAAATAACATATAAAAATTCCTAATAAACTGGTTGAGCTCCAGCATAATGATTGTAAGCTAAATCTTGTGCTGCTGCTTGACCACTTCTATGCCAATCTGAGTGTACAATTTCAGCAGCTGGTGCACCAGCAATATAAGCTGTTGTTACATGATCTTGTTTTTTAGCTAAAAGGTCTTTGAAAAGTTGTGAACCTATAAAAGCATAGGGACTTAAGATGGTTTTGATGGAAATTTTTTTTTTCATATTTATTAAAAAACATTTTTTATTTATCAAATTATATAAAATGGTTCAAAATTTCTTACCTGATATAATCAACGCTAAGAAACCGATAGCTAAGGCTTTAAGTGATATGAATTTAACAAGTAATAACATTACTTTCATAACAAGTGCCATTTTCAATTTTAATGCCAATAATAAAGGAACCAACATTTTCTTAACTTTTTTTGAGCGTGAATCTATAATATAAATTATGAGACGGAAATAGTAATTTAGTAAATTGAAAATTTAAAGAAAAAAACACACAGAATATAAAGTAAAAAATTAAAATTCAATTGAAAATTTAAGCATTTCATAGATAATAGAGTCTGAAACTTTTAGAATAGATTAAAGAATCGCTGCATAAAATAAAAATGTCGAACTGTTGTTCTTATAAGTCTGAAATATTTACTTATTTAAAATATTTTTCAAAATGAGATGAAAAATTTCCGGAATTTCAAATAATAATATACGCTAAACGTAAACTAAATACACACATATAAATGATCAGAAATGTAAACACAAAACATAAAATATTGATAATGTATGGATAGAAAATTATGCAGATGCGTGGAGAGGAAAAAAGGCAAAAATCAAAACCAAATCGTAATTACAATGTTAATATACGACCTTTCATAACGGTGAAATTATTTTCTTCTCTTTTTCTTTTTATTTTTTTTTCTCAATATCCATGCATACATACAAACGTACATAATTTTATTTATATTCATTACTCGTTTGAGCATAAACACACACATTATTGTGCATAAAATTATTATACATACCAACATATTAAGTAGATATGAATTTTAAGATATAAAAAAATAAGAAGAACAAAAAATGATAAAAAAAAATGTTCAAAAGTAAAGTGAAATCTTGAAATGCGGGTAAACAATTCATATATATACATACATATTAATATACATATGTTTGAATATAGCCCGAAATAATGTGTAAGAAGAGTGCGAAATATTGTTGATTAAAACAGCAAAGGCTTATTATGTAGGTATGTTTGTTTAATATGAAAATATTGAAGTTGAAAATTTACTTCCAATCATTTGGAAAACAAAAAAAAGAGGAAAAGAAATGAGAAAATATAAAAAGAGAAAAGAAAACAAAAAACATTGCTTTGTTTATATTGCTTTTATTTTATTTTTGTTTTTTGTTTTTCTCTGTCTCTCTCTCATTTTTAACATTAACTGTTTTTCTTTCTACGCAAAATTAATCTCTCTTTCTTTATTATTCATTAAGATCATATAAAGAAAAATTATTTATCTACATTATAACATTGTACCTGTGTTTATGAGGATCTGACAAAGGTTACAAGAATTCAAGTAGATAAGAAATTGTATATATGTATATATACTTATGGACGTATAAGATGCATATACATGTATATGCCACAAAATTCGTATTATGTGAGTTTGTATATGTATACAAATAATATTTACGTTAATTGTACATAATAGCGAATGAAGAAAGAAGCATATAATACTCGTATCTCATTGACATATTATGGGGAAAAGTGACTTAACATGTGCTTATTCTTACATATAAATATGTGTGTGCAAGTATAAATAAAGATTTATGTAGATATGTATGAATATTTATGATATTTTATTTTGCTTTGAATTTCACGTTCTTGTTTAGTTAAGTTTTTACAACAAAGATTAAAAAGTATATATTATTAATGCGGTTAAAGACCTTTAACTAAGGTAAAGGTAAACATATTGTTATCATACACACACTTACACGAAAACATACAGTTTAATATGTAAATTTTGATAGCATGTAAATAAATCTGTGGTTACTCGTAATATTCACTCAATCTTGTTGAAGAACAACACAAAAAAATTTTATGTGTATGGACTTAGTCTGTAAATATACATATGTATTTGTAGACTGTTATAATATTGCATTCGTTAAAATTATTTTAAACCAACTTAAGCAATGTTTGTTCATTGCCAGCAGATTGCATACATACATAATACATACATATGATTGTTTCCACAAAATAAAGTATGTAAAATCGGTATAGATATTTTCTGCATTTGAATATTTTACCTAATTGCGCTGTTTAGGAACAACAGACAATAGGACAAATTTATGCATGCAAGAGAATAAATAAGCTAGTAATTTATATGGTATAGCTAATATATGTATGTATGAATGCATATACAAACATACATAATTACACGAAAAGAAAGAGTAATGAATGATAAATTCAGGTGTTTCAATTTGGAATTTTATTTGCACATAATCTTTTGGGAAATCATAAGAAAAACAATAAAGTGGGGAGAGAAAAATAAAAAAAAAAAACAAACAAAAAAATAAAATGTGAAAAACTTTCTCTTTTTTTTTCTTTTGATCCAAAATTTATTTGTTTTTACTTTTGTTAGCTTTTTCCCATTTATTTTTTTTTTTCTTATAAATTTTTGTGGTGATTCAAATGAAATTTTCTTGTGTTGTTGTTTAACTTTTTTCTTCTTTTTTTTTACATTTATTAATTTTGCTTTGAAAATCTTTAGGGTTTATGTGAGTAATCATGAATTTTTGCATCATTGTACCTTGTATATGATGTCGTTTCGCGTATATTATTCCAAATTAACTTTCATTTTAATTTTTTTATTTTTTTCTTTTATTTTTTTTTTTCAAAATTTAGCTAATATTATTTATAGTTGCAATCTTTGTTTTAAGTAAACATTTTTCTTACAAATTGAATCAAAAATATAAAATTCATTAAGAATTTTAATAAAATTTGGTAATTTTTGTATAAGAGTTTTGTTTTCGTAATGAAAAATAATATTTTACAAAATTAAATAAATTTCCTTATGAATATAACAGATAAATTATATTTTGAAATAATGGAAAAAAGTATATATGAAAAGGGATTTTCAACATGTTAAATGAACCACCATATGAATCATCATACTATTTTGGGATTTAATGAAAAATGTAATTAGAATTTTTGATAAAACGTAAATTATTGTTGAGAAAATTTATAAATTTCAATTAGTATAAATTAATAAAATACAATATTACCAGAATATTTTCAAGTTATTGTTAAATTATCACAAATTACTTAAGTAAATCATGATTAGATTCAGTAAATTTTTAGGATTTCTTTGAAACATTTAAGCAAAAAAAAATTTGAAAAAACCTTGATTAACAATAATTTTTTAAACATGACAAAAGCAAGATTATTTTTAAATTGTTTAATTTTGGTTTAGAGTAGAATTTTTATGTAGAGTTTGCTGAAAATTTTTCGCACCAAGAACAAGACCAAAATTCGGGAGAAATATGATCAAGGGAATTTATTTCAGAGGGTCTTTGGAATTTTTTTCACAAATTATTAATTTCTTTATAAAATTGCAAAATTGTTAGCTTTTTAAATAATTTCTTACATATCTTTTTGTATGATTTATTATAAATACCATCCGAAATTGGTTAAATTCAATTTATTGCTCAATTATCATAGTTACTATCGGACCTCTATAATACTAATGTAATAATTTTGTAGATTAGTTCGTGTTAGAGAAAATTTACTTTTTGCGATACGAATAAGAAAGAATTATTTCGTCAAAATGCAGCAAAATAATTTATGTTTAACAGAATTTCTGGATTTCATGGGAAATCACGTTAAAGGGATTTGACTGCTGCCATATTGAAATGCAAATAAATTTTATTTAAAATCACATTTTGTTGGAAATTCATAAAAATATTATTTTAATTTTGCAAATTAAACTAACGAAAAAATATATCATAAACTTTGAATAAAAGTGAAATTTTTTCAAGATTTACTAAAATTTTCTAAAAAAAAGTATTGAAAATTTTGCTATGAAAAATTAATTTTTTTTGGGTTTTTTAATTTCCTCTACATTTCCAGATATAAATTTCAATATTTCATTTATTTACTTTGGTACAAATTTTAGAACCTGAATAATCATATTCGAAAATTTAAATTCAATAGTATAAAGGTAATGAAAAATAAAAAATTAATTCTAAAGAAATAAAGTGAAAACAATAGCATTCCATTGAATTCCATTTCTATTGAACTGAATATTAATTAATTAACGTTTTTGTAAGGAAAAATAATATATTCCTAAAAATAAAATAAATTTTCCAATTCGCTTAATTATCGTAAATCATATTTCAATTATAATATCAATCAAATACAATACATTGTAAAACATTAAACTACATGGTATTTCGGGTGTCTCAATTATTTCCTCCAATTCACGCGTGTATGGTGAATATTATAATATAAATAGCGTTGTATATCAAAAAAATTGTCAGGAAAATATTAACGATCATTGATAATAATAAAGGATAAATAAAAAATTTAAAATGAAATTCATATTTTTCATATTATATAAAAAAAAAATTATTTTAATATTTTATCCAGAAAAATCGACCATATAATCGGAATTTCACTTTTGAACAGTGAAATTATATTTTTTCTTCTTAATAATTTCATATATTGAATAAAAGTGTTTGTAATGTATGAAATGATGCACTTTCTTTGGAATTCACTTTGTACACACTTTTGAATATTTTTTTTTATACAATTTTCTTTTTCAATAGCGGCATATTTCCGGTTAAATTATAAATGAAAATAAAAAGAAAATTTTGAAAAAACAAATAGAAATAAAAAAACACACACGACTTGTATGAATGTGTGTTGGAAATATGTGCTTGTGTATAATGCAAAAATGTTAACAGTGTCACTTAATTGCTAGGTAAATTTTTTTAAATACTGTTTGGCATTATTCTGTCAATACTCGTATTATGGGATTATAATTTTGTTAATGAGTAACGAAAAATATTAAAATATTGAAAATTTCACATCTTTACATTATAAAAACAAAATTTTAAGGGTAACATTTTGAATTTTATTTCGCAAATAATTTGATAATCAAATACTAAATTAAAATTATACCAAAAACTGAAGACTTTCATCTGTTTTATTTCGAGACACTCAAAGTGATATTGAAAGTTATAAAATAATTTCTCAACTCGCTAATAATCAAGTACAACTAGCGATATTAGTTGTATGTTAGTTAATTTTTAAAATATTTTACTAAAATTGGGGGTTTTTTAAATATTTTAGGCATTAGTGTCACTATAGTACTTTTAATATACCAAGACTTCTTCCAAATTTTTGTTAAAATCATTAATTTGTTTGTTGATTTGTTTGCAATATTTCCTTAATATATTATGGCAGCTGTTACTTTCGTCAATGTTATTCGTTATTATTACTAGCATAACACAAGATGCATGATATTTTATTAAATATTTTGCATATTGTGTCATGCTAAATGTTAAATATTTAAAATTGAAAATTAGTGAGCAATTTTAAATATTTTATTTTTACAAATAAATTTTCTTTTTTTATAAAATTCATCTTCAATTTTTGATTCTATTATTTCGTATACCGATTTCAAAAAATATGGAAAAAGAAAGGAAGCACAATAATTATTTCCAGTTTTAGCTTATTTTAATTGTTGTGTGTGTGCGTATAAGTAAAATATTTTATTAAGAAAATAATAAAGTTGTATACAATGGTATTAAAGAATGTGTGTCTTTACCTGTAGAGAGTGCGTACGTGCAATTTTTATTTTAATTTTTTTTCTTTATCGTTTCTATTTTGTTTCTTCTTCTTTTTAGGCCTAAATGTGAATAAACCTCTTTTAAAAAGCGTATAGGTTTGTCAAAGTTTATTGTTTCTTTTTTTTTTATTTTTATAATGATTCGCTTTTATTATACATATTCGTACATGTATATTATTATATATGTATATATAATAAATATAAGATTCGTTATATTTATTTGGATTTTCATGTTTTATGTTTTAGGTCCGGTTTGAAATTATTGGGGTCAAATATTTGATCATACACGAAACATCCGCAATATATGATATTTTTATTTTTGCCTTTTATTAAACATACTCGGTTATATATACGTATACATAAATATATAAATGTGTGCATTTTATTGAAATGTTATGAATTATAGATATTGTGTATGAAAATAGCACAACAAAATGTAATGTTTATATTAACGGTATTGAACATTTATTTGTGCATAATATATGCACATATGTACGCATATACATATTGTGTAAATGAATAATTAAAAATAATATTAAAAAGAAAGTTACCTATTGGTAATTTTAATATTTTTTATGCTATTTCGTTATTTTATTGCTAATATACTAATTTACATTTAGTATGTATTTATTATATTATATGTATATTTGTATGTATATAACTGAGATATGAATGATGATTTTTTAATGTAGTAAGTAAGTATGTGAATTTATTTTTCATTACATATAAAATATAATAACGGAATATTAACATACTAACAAATAAATATGCATAAAATACTTTAATAATTTTTTATATTTACATGAAAAGAATATTCAACACAATTAAAATTTTAATATTAAAATATTAATTTTTTATTAAATTATTAAAATTTTAATTAATTTAAAGTTATAAAGGAATTATTATTAATAAATCATAATAAAATATTTCTTTGAAATTGGGTAGTTTTTTCATTTTTAATAAGTTGGCCTTTAATTTTTTGGGAGAAATTAAATGTTAAATCGGGTATATATTACCCGCATTACATTCTTTTTGGTTTAAAATTAGAATTTACCTTAAATTTAATAGTTTCTTACAAACGAAAATGAAAATAGAATTTTCCAGAAATACCTTTAAAAATTTATTAAGGCTCAAATAATATACCCAAAAAGCTTTTGAATTTATTTTAAATTTAATATTTTTTTAATTTATATTAAATAAACAATAAAAAACAATTTCATATAGCATGCAATATTAATAATAAAAAATTCGTGCTATTCGATCAAATTAATAATTTAAAATAATTATGTAATCTTAATCATGATTTATTGAAATTAATAACCTACATTTTATTATTAATTACCATTTAGTAATATATTTATATGCATTTAATATCGTATTCGCTTAAATATTTATATAAAATATTCTGCATTAAGGTACAAGCCAATGTAGATTTTAATAAGATGAATTGAAATAGTAAATGCATTATGTTATGATAAATTGTTCATTATGGTTATTGCTAATATTCTAATGAAATATAATGATTCGGTTTTTTTAATTCTTATTAAATAATATGGGACTTTTGTCGAAAATTATTATTTTAATAATACTTCTACTTACTTAGAATAAGTTTTTATTCTACTTAGTTAATTGGTAACATATTATCAATAAGTATTTTATTTTGAAGATTGTTAATATGTCTTTAAGTTCTATATGGAAAACTTTAAGTTAAGTTTTGGATTCAAAAACGTTACGCGCACAAGGACAAATATGAGATTAAAATGAAAATTCACCCGGATCAAAGAAACTTCATTTAATTTGGTTTACACCCAAGATTCTATAATTAATGTATAGAAAATATCCTAGTACATAATTATGACGGTACTTTTATTTTAAAGGAGTTTGCCCAATAAAGAGACATAAAATATTTTTCATTAGTGAAAAAAGAAAGTTTTCTCTTAAAAAATTTTTTTATATAATTCTTACATGGTTTATAGAAGTCAAAAACTTTTACTTGTCGAACAACACATTTTTAATTCTTTTCATTCCAAAAATTTGCAATGATATTTTCCTTAAAGTTTTAAAAATTATTAATTTTTTTTTTCATAATTCTTTTAGAAAGTTTCTGTTGTTTTTGCATTCTGGTAATGAATTTTCTTGAAATTTAATTTTCTTAAAAATTATTCTCTTTTACTCCTAGAATATTTTTAAGGTTTGCTTACATTAATTTTTAACAAAATAAATTTCTTTGAGTAGAAATTTAATAAAAAATAAATTGCATACTAGGTGTTCATTAAAAATTAATTATTTCTATATGAACCTAGAAATTATAACTATAAAGGAAATTTTTTCTTTCTAAAATATTTTTTTATAAAGTAGAATAATATTAGAAAAGTTTTATTCTTTCAGTATTTTGGAAAAATGTAATCTATTCTTTCTAATATTGAAAAAAAATTTAAATAAAATGTAAACCATTGGGTTTCTACTTTTTTCTTGATACACATGCGGGTAAAATATTTTGTATTTTGTAGGAAAATGTATGGAAACAATCTACCTGTTCTCAGCATGAGATATCTACTTTAAGGTAGATGCAAAACATCAATTCAATATGAATCCAAAGAAATTTTTTTTTAAACTTAATTGCATACTTTTAGGATAAGACATATCTTTAATTGCATACATTTAGGATATCAGCCTGAAATTCAGCCACAAAACAATTTTATAAAATCAAGTGAAATAAATTTTGTGAAAATTTTTATGTATTTTTGCTGGTAGCTAATTAAAATTTTAAATATTAAATTTGAGTTTTAGCTCTATAATCATTTTAAAATTCAAAATTACTTTTTTAATTCTATAATCTTGTTTCATAATTTAAAGAATTTTATAATTGGATAAAATTTAATCTTAAAATATTAAAGCACGAGTTATAAGAGTAATAAAAATAATTATTTCATGAAATCGAGGATATGCAATTAAAAGTAAATTTGATTATTGTACTTGGTTTATTTTAAAATTTTTATATAACGGTAAGCAGATCAAATATTTTGTTTACCATTATATTTAATGGTTTTTTTTTAGTCCTTAATTTTTTCATTTATTCCAACCATTTAATATATTGTATGTATATTTGATGTTAAAAAATTTACCTTGAATTGAACGTCCAGTTGATGAACTATCAACAGAATTTTCATCGGCAGCATCAAATGAGAAATTTAATTCATGTGTTTGTAGATAACGTTCAGTACGATCAAATAATGATTCAGATTTTGTTTGATGATTATGAACTGAACCAAATGAACGACCATTTTCAATACGATCAACAGTTAATCCACCAAATAATGGTAATGATTTTTCATTATCAATTTCATTAATGAAATTTGTGATATCCTTTTCTATATCAATATCCTTTGATGAAGCTTTAACACTGGCAATTAAGCACAATGTGAATACGAAACCGATTTTTGTGTACATTTTTAATTTGTTTTTGTTTTTAAATAATTAATAATTTATTTTAAATATATTATTTAATTTTTAAAGTACTTTATAATTATTTAATAATTAATTATAGTACTATAAATTATTTATAACACTAGAACACAAATTGTTTGTACACACTGGAAGTACAAATGAATAATTGCGATTAAACAAATAATTGTTAATGCTATTTATTAGATTTTTTTTTATTGGTTCCGATATACAAATTGTATTAAAATACCATTTTGTTTTTTTTTTTTTTTTATTATCTACATATAGATTTTAAATATATTTAAAATTGAATTAAAGGTGATCATTTAAAATGAATGGTAGGGGTCGGTTAATTTCTTCCCAAAACCTAAATTATAAACAAAAATTTCATAAATATATATATATATGTAAAGCAAAACTAAGTGTAATGAAATTAAAACAAAACGTATGGAAATTTTTGTATTTATGTAGCTGTACGCACAAGACCCAAGACCAAATATAATGAAAATATTTTGGAAAATAAAAAGAAAAACAAAAGAAAATATTAAAATATGTATATCAAACGGTTTTGCCCTAATCGATCGACAAAAAGACATAAATAATTATTTTTCAAAACTTATACAAAATCTATACAGTCATATGTTTCTTCAAATATAAAAGAAAATACAAGAAAAATAAGAAAAAATTTAAACAAATTTAAACAAAAATTACAATGTGTCCATAATCAATTTGTATTCTTAATGATGTTTCATAAATGTCACTTTTACGTGACATTTTTTTTTAAAATTACTTAGGCTTCACCAGAAAATCTAAAATAAAATTTTAAAACCAACAACAACAAAGGGAAAAAAAATTAAAATATAAGAAAATTTCTTTTCATTACTCTGTTTTTTTTTCTTCTCTTTAATTTTTGTCTTTCTTTCTTTTAATTAATCCAAAAACCTGCATACCATTTAGAAAATGTAATATCGCCCCATCCATAATGTATGGTGAACCGCAATTATTGTTCCGAAATACCATAAATAAAAACATTTATAAATATTTTATAGTTATACAAAAAAAAAAAACAAAACAAAAACGAAACATTTGCAGTATAAAATTTACTTAAATTTCATTTCTAGGTTTAAGAATATTTGGGTTGCGGTACTGTATACTTTATTAGGAACTTGTACGTGTATACAGATATCGTAAATATACGTACATACTTATTGGGTGTGATAGAGAGTTACCATGTCACCATATTTAATTTAATTTTGAAAAAATACAAAGTGATTCGTATTTATGTGCACTACTGTATATTGGCGTTCATGAATAAGTAAAACTTTTGTATGAAGTCAGTTCCATAGTTGATGTTCACAGCTCAAAATCTTTGTTCGTTTAAAGTTTGCTGAAATTAAAACTGCCATATGATATTTTCCGGGTCATTAATATTTGAAAATGTTAAGGAGACTTGGTAGTTAAATAAAATATTTGCTTTAATCGAATAAATGCAAAATTTTGATGTGTTTAAGTAACTGAAGTAAATAAATTCGTATATAAAAAACATTTGCAATACTTTATTTTTCTCAATAACTTCTAAACCATGACAGCCAGAAAGATAAATTGTATACCAAATTGATGTTAGATTAACAGGGTTACTAGTTGTGCTAACACTAGAGATAGCTGTAATGTTACGTTACATAAAAATTTAACGTATTTTAGAAACATATGATTTCAAAATCTGAAAATAATATTATCTTTTCAGACATTCATGAGAAAGCCCTTAATTTTAAGGTTTCTAAATCATATTTAGGAACTAAGTTGTAATTAAAATTGCAAGAAGAAAAAAAATATTCGAGATTGTTGCGTATTGTCGCTATACAAAAGTTTCACTAACTCATGAGGGTCTACATATACAATAGTGCACTGAGGTATGAGACATCTTGTAATATTTTTAATGTCTTAGAAGTATATTTCGAGTTCATATACAAATTTAAATGTGAACTTCATGTATATATAATGTTATTCACATACAAATATAAAATTTATGTATATAAGTGCGTCTCTATATGAATACAGATTTATAGGTATGCGGACATTTATATTAAATTTGGTTTTTTTTTTTTGTAATTGAAAATGTCACCCACTTTTAATTTCGTTTTCATTTTCATTTTCAACATAAATAGCAGAAACGAGAAATATTTTTTTTTTTATTAAATTTAAATTCGATTAACAGCTTTCTGTTATCGTTCAAGCAATTGCTTAATGATAAAATTATAATTTTTATATGTCCGTATGTATATATGTAAAATATTTGGATGACATTAAAAATCAAAGATCAGTTATAAACTTCCGTTTTATTTCATGTAAGTGTCTATACAAAATTAAAAAGTATTAAACTAGTTCATGTGTGTATATTGGTGTTTCTGGTATTTTTTTGATAATGTCAATGTAAAAACCATTATTAACTAGATTTTATTTTTGAAATTGACAAAGGTATGTCACAGTATATATGTAGATGGTAATAAATTTAATATGCAAAAGTTGTTATTTAAAAAAATTTTCAATTTATTTTTTATTAATAGTTTCCTATATTGTACTATATTTGAATTAAATAGTGTCTACATATTAAAATTTGGATTTCCATTACTCATTTTTTGAAATTTCTTATTTCAATTTTAATTATATTAAATATATTTCATTAGGTATTAAAAAAAATTAGGATATCTGTTAATGATTCGCAAAAAAATTTATTAAATATTTTTTATAATAAAATTTTAACTAAATTTATTCCGATCTAATAATACTATTAATTAGTATTAGAAAATTCATTTAAATCAAAGACTTCGGTAGATCTTTTCTTATAATATTATATTTTATCGTTAGTCTATGGGTGCGAGTTTTTTAATATTTCGTAAAAAGTAGTAATTCAAGGTTTTTATTTACGATTTTTGGTCAACTATTCAAATGTTTGTTACTATGTAAGCCTGCAAATATCTTTTACTGTATAAAAGTCAGATGAATATTTCTTCTATTTGTACTTGCACTGGATTATTTTCAGCTGAACTTTCATTTAATTTTACGTTATACAATTATTACTAGACAGAAAATTGCATATGTTACGGCGATATGCTTAAATCAAATTCAATATAAGAATAAAAATGTGCCATTAAAGTCAAACCCGTTTAGTGGCCACATAGAAAAATTTCCAAAAAGTTTTAATAATTCACATTATGTGAAAATAAGTGAAATTGAGATAAATTAAAATAATTTAAAATCATTTGATAATTTTGCCATAAGGTGGCAAATAATTCAAGCCATAGTTCTTTGATGAATTTCCAACAAAAAATTGTGTGGATGGTAGAGGGAGGGGGATACGAATGGTTGAGAGAGGGAGGGATATGTTTTCATATAAGTCAGATATTTTCTTTTTGAAATTTTTGTTTAAAAATTTATGTTATAATGCATTACAATGAGAGTTTAAAGTTAACTCATATAATGTATATAGCTACAGATATACAAGTATACCTGCAGCCCGCTCCCCTTCCCTCCTCCCCCCTCCCAATACCTTATTATAATTATAAAAATATCTAGCGGGTACAAAAATTAGAAGAGATATGGTCTATTTTAAGTCGTAAGATTACTCAATTTCTTAATATTCGATACCATTATTGTTAGCAGTAGATATTCTTACAAATGATTCATGCCTATAATAAAATTTTTAAAACTTATACGATAAAATAATATCTTCACCTAATAACCATCTATAACTATAAATCGCAATTAATACCATCGATTTCAAAGGGTACATTCTAAACGAATATTCGTTCACACTCAATAGTTTTGTATAAAGAAATTACGACAGATGTCGCAAACAACAGTAGCTTTTTTAATAGTAATTGTTTTAACAGTAATTGTAAGAAGAAATAGCTCTTCTGAATTTTTTTTCGAATTACGTGATTGCGATATTGCATAAAATTAAACATTCTTATGTCGAAATTTCCCGAGTATTTTGAATAGAACTGAATTGTCATTTTTAAGAGCGTTGATATTAAACTTGTTCAAATGTGTAATATAAATTATTATACAAAAAAATTGTAACAATTTTAAGAGAAAAATTAATAAATTACGCCACTTGTTATTTAAAATTCTTTGATTTATCGTTAAAATTTAATTTATTAATGAGTTATAAATAGCTTGCTAATAAGTAATAAATTTAAAATTAATTTAATATAATTATATTGAATTTGTGTAATAATAACACAATTAAAATTCTTTCTTGTAAAGACTTCCCTATAATTCTGTAAATAATACACGTGTGCGATAGAGTAAAGACATTTTTTATGAAAAACTATAAAATTAATCAAAAACCAGTACGGGAAAATAAATTCATTTCAGTTTTAACTTGGAATTTAGTGAGTAATGACTGCAATAAATTTTAATTATTAAATTTTTAATTATTGATTGTTTGCTTAAATTTCTTAAAAATCAGATATTGAAAAAAAAGAGAGCTGCTGTACAGAAATTGCATTTAATTTAATTCAAATTCGTTTTATATTCGGAATATTACAAATTTTTCTGTTTTTTTCACTCTTTCTTTTTTCACAGAGAATCAATTAAAAATTGGTCTCTAAATAAAGTAGAATAACAAAATACCGTTCTGTATTCCGCAGGTATTGTAACGAAATATTATACGAGAAAGTATTTAAAAAATTCCAAAATGTTTTTTTTTATCGTAATTTTTTCTTTTTTTCATTTTGTTTTATGAAAAATTCATACATTCGTGTTCTTTTTATATTGATACTTATGAAATTTTTAAATTTACTATAAAAAGAAATTTTGGATTATTCTGAATTCATATTGGTTTAATCATCTTGAGTTTTCAAAGAAAATAATGAAAATTTTTTCATGAACAATTTGATGAATCCATAAAATGTATGCACATACATATATACCTATAATAATGCATTGTACTTATTGCAGTGAAGAAAATTCAAAGAATTTTTCAAAGAACTTAATTTAAAAGTAGTGATTATAAGAATTTATGAATGTTTAATAGTTTAACTATCGATTATTCTTTTTTCTATATGTTCAACTTTATTGATGTTGTATGGTTTATGATGCTGCAATGTATATTACCTAGTATGGTGAAAGTGGTCCTTTCAATTTTAAGGAAGTTAGTAAGTAACATACCTAGAAAAATGTAAATTTGGCTCTTAGTAGAATTTCGCTTTGCGCCATCCGAATCCACTGAAAAGTTCACCGGTTAGTTTCGGTAACAACCAGAACTAAAATATCAAATTTCAAGATATTCCATTCCAGCAATCCTTTCCGAAGATATAGTAAAAATTATAAAATCGGCCCCAATTTTTTTTCCGAGCCACGATCTTTTGAAAAAATTCATAAATTCATTGTTTTAACACTTCGAATTTAAATATTAAATTTCAAAGAAATTAGCTGATCATTTATCTCTTTGTATGCGCAAAAATTAAAAATCGGACCGCAAAAAAGTCCAGTTTCCGAGGTCTGATATATCCTAAAAGTTGATCAATCAGTGCTATAACCAAAAAAATCTTACATACAGAATTTCGTCGAAATCGGTTCAGTCGAACTTGAGATACGCACAGAAAGAAAGACCAGCAGACTTACTGGTTGCTAAAAATAGTTTGTATACGCTTCCCTATTATGGAGAATTGCGTTTCCACCGAAAACTCGACATCCAAAATTTGGTGTATTGTATGCAGTTCGGTCGGTAAATATTCTAATAATTTCTCTTTTGTTTTTTTTCGAAATGTAATGATTGGTGTTACAAATAACTTACATATTACAAGTATATTGCAAATAATATAGTATATTTATATTCAATTACGAGAATTTGCAAATATTAAAGTGAGGCATGACTATATAAATGCAACTCTTTTGGTATTATTATGATAACACTTTTTTCCTTAAGATAATCTATTACCATAAGCTTCGTATTTAGAAAAATAATGTCCAGTAATGTCACGACACCATGCGTCTTTTGTCCATTGATTTCACTTCAAATGTGATAATTAGAAAAAATTTTTGGACAAAATAATATCCTTTTAGTTAAGCATAGTCTTTCGATAAAATAGCGAATAATTCAAATGAATTTAGATTACTTGATGAAAAAGGAAGCCTAGTTTTTCGATGAATCCTTTTGTGTTTTCTATTTAGGCAACAAAAACCAAATGCACACTGTTATAAGATTAATACAGTTTTAATTGATTTAACTACTTTTTATAGCTTTGATTGAAATGTATTTGGACTTTGTACGCCGCATCTTGCAAAATGGTAAATTGACCATAATTGATAGGATACAAACTATGACAAATTTTAATGGAAGACCTTCAAAGCTCTGACGTTCAAATTATTTCCAAGATATATAGCAAAGATTAACTTACTACTATAGCAATCATCAGTATACATACAAAAATTTTACAATAAAGTTATGGCAGTATTTTGAATAGTTAACATTGTGTATACTTCTAAATCAATAAACAACTAACTTCTAGTTAAATATTTGGATAAAAGATTTCAAAAGATGAACAAGGTAGAATTAAATACTAAATCTCACTATAAAAAGTTATATGAAAATATTTTTTTTAAGATTATAATAAAATTGCAACAGCTACTGAATGCTCAATGAGGCTAATATTTGAATTGAAACCATTCGACTATAGGTACCAGATATCGTAATTAAATTTTGAAAATTTTTTTAAAATTTACATTGCAAACCAGAGTACATAAAACTTTTAATGTTTTCATTGGATGAAAGTAGAAATTTTTTCTCGTAAAATAAACTTTATCGTAAAATAATTCTAAAAAGTCTCGTAAACAATTTTAAAAAGTTTACCGCTTCGATAATGTACCTGGATGTATCTTTAACGGATAAATCGCACCAACAATTTCAGTAATAATTATTAGCCATCATGATTGATCAAAATTTTTTAATTGTTGTAGGTATTCCTATTATCATTCGATTATTTTTGCTTATAAAGTTTTATACCGTACGAACCGGAAAAAGACCACACATTAATCGAAAAAACCAGAATTTTCCAGAAAAACTTTAATATTAAAAAAAATTTGAAAAGAAGAGTCTTTCACCCTTTCCTTAAAAGTAGACGTTGAGAAAATTACCGCACTTTGTGGGACTTTTTTGATTTTTATTGTTCAATTAGCCTTTATTGCACCATCAGGGATCCGATAATATCTTCTTTAAACCTTTAATTGAAAATAGGTTTATTTGACCACATTTAAATTATTATAAGTAATTCTAACATAACTAATCAAAAACAGGAATTTTTATTCATAAACGGTCAAAAGAAAAAAACAAGTAAAAACTGTGGAGTCGATTTAAATTGACTGAATTTGGTCTGGAATTTAACACTCGGAGTATAAATTTTTGTTTTTGAAATATTTAAAATAAATTTTCATGGTAGTATAGCAGCTACAGCCATTGCATAAAAACTTAAAGAATAATATGTCTGACCTATAATAGAACACTTGATTGACAAGTTTCACTAACTTATTATTTTTCCTAATATTTAATGTTGTTATCTCTTAGGGTTGTATGGCGGCTGTATCCGAACCTTTTGTAGAAATAAAAACAATTTGTGTAGTTTCATTTTTGAGTTATTATTCTATCAGACGGATGGACACACGTCTGAATCAGTGCAGAATTTTGAGCCGAGCAAGAATATGTGCACATGTTCCTGCCGCAGACAACTCTTTCAAGTGGTTAAAAACTCAATGCCAAAAGTAATATACTCTTCATGAAGGTATAGAAGAAATATTATAATTTAATAGAATGGCTGATTATATTTTATCAGTGCTTTATCAAAGATAGTCGGATCGTTTGGAACACTAAAAGGTACGCAGCCGCGATGGCGGAACTGTTGAATTTACAGCTCTTCAATTGAATATTAAAACAAAAACAACAATTTTTTTTTAGAAAAATTTATTTTTTTTTTTTATTCTTATTTAACATGAAATCTGTACGTTTTAATTACAAAAATTTTCAACAGTTTTAAGTTAACAAAAAGTTTTAAATAAATTAAAACAACAATACTCATCTCCAGTTCTTTTTTCCTCCTACTTTAACAAAAAAAAGAAGCATTTAAATAATTATGTAATAAAATTAAATAAGATTTTAATTTAATTTATTAAAAATTAAAATGAACAAAAGAATAAACTTTCAACAAGAAATTTTTGACTTGATTTCGAAAAATCGAATACTAAAATGTTAATTTTTTATGCATGTGTAGCTTACGAGTATATACGTGTGTACATATGTATATAAGGACATATTCGTTAAAACTATATGAATGACTTAGCGAATTAATGAATAGAAGAACAAAAAATTTGATTTTCTAATTTGGTATTATGCATTATTCATTTTATATAAATGTCTAACTATAGATAGACTCGGTTCTCATACATTTTCGTGATATTAACCATTTATATATTAATTATCACTAAATTACAGTATGATAATGAACACTAATTAACTATGTATAAATTACTACATTATATAAAATATTTTATGATTTTTTTTGTTTTGTCTTGTTTGTTTCTCAAATAAATAATTATTTTATATAAATATTATTTAATATGGTATTTCTTAAAAAAGGTATTAAAAATAAATAAAAATAAATAATAAAAAAAATATTTTTATTGTTGTTGGATTTGTTGTTGTCCTCTATAGGCGATATCTTGTGCTTCTTGTGTATCGTAACTACGAGCATATGGATAACCGCCAGTACCAGCAGCTGTCCATCCACCAGTACCTTGTGCACCACTCCATCCACTATTCCATCCGGCATTATTATAACCAGTACCGCCGCCTAATTTTCCTAATACACCACCGGCACCACCAGCAAATAATTTTGATGCTCCTAATAGGATTGCCATAACGAATGCAATTTTAGCAACAACAACAGCTTTAATAGCTAATAAAGCTAATCCACCAAGGAAAATTGGTATCATTGCAATTAATTTAGCACCAACAGCCATCATTAAAGGTCCCATAATTTTTTTCATTTTTCCACCACCTTTTCCTTTAAAATGTAATAGAAATGTAATTAATAAAACATTTTCTTACAATACATTTTGTATAATAATCTTACAATAAATTTTATATAATTAATTAAATTTTATAATTTTAATGCTGAAGTTGTATTTGAATTAAAATTTAATTCATAAATTGAAAATTTTATGTTTATGCTATAATATTGATCTCAAAATTTAATTTAGTTTTGGCATGAATTTCCAAATTCAAAAACTTCAGGAGCTTAAAGTATATTATAATATATTTATATTTAAATTAGAATAAGTAATAGATGAGAAAAATTATGAAGACTTATTGTTTTCTGTTTTACAATGGGAAATTGAACTTGAGGTATTTGAAGATATTTGTAAACTATGGTGCCATTAATTTCGAATATAATTTTGTCCTATAGTTCAAAATTTATAAAATAGAATGAAATTAAAATTATTAATATGAATACATATGTACTTACTTCCTTCTTCAATAGCACGTGCAAAATCTTGTGTTGTTTCTTGTGGTACTTTAATTTGTAATGTATGAGTTTTAAAGAATTCGATAGCTGAATCTAATGCCAAATCTAATAAACGACCAGTTTTTTCTTCATTTTCTTTTGGTAATGTTGTCATTATTTCATTCTCTGATAATGATTTACCACTACGTACCGATTCACTCTGTTCCCTGTTATTAAAATAGAACATTAAATAATAATATATAGAGAAATTAAATTAAAATGCAAAATATTTACTATAGGTTTGAATAATTAAAACAAACAAAAAGTCGTTGACATATTGACATAAAAATTTTTTAATAATAAAAAGTGGAAAAATAAAAGCAAAAGTTACACTAGGTACTAAAATCTAAAATTTTTTCTTTTAATTTTACCACAAATTAAAAACAAGTTATTTTTATTTATTTAACACGATATGTTGATGCGGTAAAACTCATGAATGGAAATTAAAAACCAAAAAGCAAAAAAAATACCGCTTGTATAACAAGCTTTAAACTGTTAAAAAAATATGTTATAAAAAAACATAAAAATAATTTCATTCATTCATTAAAAAAGAAAAACTCATTTTTTATCATTTTACCCTCCAAGAGTTGGAATGCTCTACAAAAAATTATGATAAAATCTGAACTTGATTCCATTGTCTATCTCCGAATATTAAAAGTTGAAAGCAGAAAATTCAAAAAGGTAGGTAGTCATAAATATGAAGAACGCGGTGAATAATGGGGAAGAAACGTTTTGGCAATAAAAATCACAAAAATAATACCGGTTTATATAATATTTATGTTGACATTAAATTTTGCATTATTTTAACTATTTAGTTCTAAATTTGTCATATTCAGACTAACTTTATTCACAATAAGTCATTAATAAAAATATGAACAAAAAAAAAAACAAAATTCAATTTTAATGTCCTTAGTCATTCACAGTATTGTATTTATTAAAAGAAAGTAGTAAATGTGACAGATAGAGAGAGAGAGGAAGAGTGAAAGACAGGCAAAATATGCAAGATAACAAAATTGATATAAAATCATAAAAATTTCAATTTTTATTTTATATTCGTGATTTTTATTCTTCAATATTTTAAATGTAACATTTAAGAGTACAATAAAAGAGCTCAATCAGTCTATGCTCAAAGTTTTTGATGACTATGATGAAATCACATGAGAAATATATGCATATGTATGTATGTATGTATGTATCATAAAGCTGACGCAATAGCGTGTCTTTATTTATGATTCACATTGACAACAACAAAAAAAAGCATAAATAAATAAATAAAATTTTTCTCTTTTTCTTTCAAGCATCTTTGACATTTATTTATGTGGTGCATACATTTTTGCTATTTATTTTTTTATTGTTGTTTTTTTTTTAACAATTTTCCAAAAACAAGTTATTATTTAACTTGTTCTCTGCATCATCATCGAAATTCACAATGAAAACAATAAATTTTTTTTTTTTTACAAATAAGCAGCAATGAAAATATTGTTGTGATTTTGGTTTTTTTATTGATAAGTTTTCAATCAAGTTTTAATGATGCTGATAGCAATTATTGAAATATTTAAGTACTCTGTTATGCAAGTCATTATCGAACGCACTTAAATTTATTTATAAGAGGATTTATGTATGTGTATACTATATTATTGTATATTATATGAATATTGTCTGGGTTGGATGAGATTTAAGAGTGAGATAACAGAAGGGATTTCCATAACATTTTCACTCTCAATTTCACTATTATGTTATAAAATTTATTAGCGCCGTGTTAAAAATTTATTATTGGAAAAATTTTAAATGAATTGATGAGTAAAAACAAAAGGAAAATAAACCGGTTTAAAATGAATTTAATTGTGAATTTTATTTTATTTGTTCATTTAATGGTAGCTACATATTTTATTTTTCTTTTATTTTCCCGATGCATCGTAATAATTAACTGTTTTTTATTTTATTTTATTTAATTGAGTTTCATAAGTCATAACAATTTATATTTGTTTTTTTTTTTTTGTGAAAAGCAAATGCAGAAAAATGATTACGAAAGCGGGAAATTTTTGTTTTTTTTTTTTGGAAAGTTTATGTTTAATTGTTAAAACGGTGTTAAACAGTGAAAATGTGTAACTGTTATTGTAGTTTAAAAATTAATAGTTGACATTCGCACATTTTTTTTTTTAAATATAAATGTGAATTTTCTTCTGGGAATAGGAACTGAGGAATATACGGTAATTTTCTTGGTTTTGAAGTCAAGAGTCTTGAGTATTTATGTTTTCTCTTTTATAATAATAAAAATGTGCTATAGGCATATTACATTGATAAGGAATTTTTCGATTAACGTAGAATATCAAAAACGGTTTGTCATGTTTGCCCTTTCGTTAAAAAATCTTTTTAGGTGTTGAGTGTATTGAAACCTCTCAAATTCAAGTTCAAATGTATTTTGACATTTTTAAAGTTATGTCAAAATTTGAACAATTCCGTTCATTTGATTCCGGAATCATTAATGAAAATATACAAAGTTATTACATTTTTCTTCTTAAATTAAACTTATCCTGAATAAATTTTTTAAACTTAGTAAATTTTTCTGAAAACTACCCTTATATATGTAAAATCTAGTTCAAATTTGGAAGATTATCGATTGAATTTCTTTCCCGGTTCCGTTTTTAAATATTTTTAAGTAAAAAATTCTATGTTTTTCTCTCATAAAATCTTTGCAATTGACAGATAGAAGATGTAAAATATATAGAACAAAAATATAATTAAATTTACAGATTTACAGCTGTGTGAATATTGTACAATTTAATAAATGTGAAGCATGAGTATTTAATTTTACTATGAAAGTTTTATTAAAAGCAGTTATAATCTAAAAAATATCCACATATTTTCAATGTGTTGTACTATTTCATTAAGTGCATTACAAATTGTTATATTGCACTAAATGAAGTAGATAGAATATTCGATTAGAATGGATGAATCAAAAACCAAGGGATTTAGAATAGATTATATAGGTCCTTTATTTAAAAAATCAGAATATTTAAATTATCGAATAATATTAAAAATAATATAATAATATTATCAACTTTAAAGATTGAAATTTTAAAGGACATATTTATTATTATAGGTGAATACTAGAATTATTTCTTTACACGTGCATATTCCTATACACAATTATCTGAATAGAAATTTATTAACTTTAACAGACGATTAACTTTAATAGAAGATTATTGATAATTTTTACAATGTTTTACATAATAAGTATATAAGATCTAATTTTAATTGCACTATAAATTCTGTTTTACTCAAAATGTTCTTAATTAAAAATTTTATTTTCAATTATTTTTGTATTTATTGTTCCACTTTTTTTATATATATATATATTCAGTATATAGTTCTTTTGTTCACACTCATATATTATGTAATATGACATTTGTAACAATGATAATCCTTGTAAAATTATTTTGTTTTTTATTTTATACTCATATATTTTATTAATTTTATTTTCATATATACCTTGTAAAGGTAATTCCCGGTAATATTTCAATATTACTACTTTTAGCCGCCCGATTTAATGCAGTTATACCTTTAACAGCTAAACAAGTTGCGACATCATCCGTATCAGCACAATGACCGATAAATTTAGCAACACGTGAGAAACTATCATTTTCACTATTTTCGATTTTATTATCTAGAACACTAGGTGCTGCAAATGCACCAATAATTGTTGTTGTTGCAATTAAAACACAAATAAATAAATTCATTTTTTTAATTAAATTAAAATAAAATATCCTGTAAATATAGAATTGATTTTTTAAATTTCGAATCGCGTACGATGTCGTTACACTTGAAACGATGATTATGATTTGATGTGTTACTTAGTACTCAGCCACCCTTTTATACAACAAAGTAAAAAAAAAAATTTTTTCTTTTATGAATTTTTTTCTCACTTATTTTAATTTCTGTATACAGTTTTTTTTTTTTTCTTTTTTTTTGTTTATATACGCTAAAAATCTTCTTAAGTAAGAGATGATGATAACTACTCCCTATTTTATTTTTTTGTTTTCTTGCTTTTCTTATTATTTTTTTATTATTATTTTGACAAATACTCAACGTATTTAAAATAGAATTATCATAAGCCACTAAGCAATAAAGCGTCGTCATTTAAAACGGAGGAAAAAAGAGATGCGATGGCGGATAGTAATTTATTTTTGCGTTTTTATTTGTTTTATTTCTTGTTTTTACTTTTTATTCTTCATATTTCATATACATATATATTTTGAGTAAAACGAAACTCACGGAATAAAAAACAATGTTTACTTGAAGTAAACATTGTTTACGCAAAAATGTATTAAATATGTTGCACACACACACACACACACACAAATACCAACATAATACATAAGATAATAAAAGAAAATACCATCATCTAAAAAATTCAAGTTGTATAGCGTTATCATCCAAAAAGTCGACTTAATTCAATTTAAGCAAACAAAATATTGTAATTTAATATGAAAAAGATAGAAAGAGCAGCATATGATAGTAAGTAGTAGCAACCGTATTTACTATTACCACTTTTAAAATTAAAAACAACCAAATTTTTATTATTTTGCTGGCGATTACTTCTTCTAAGTATGGAAGGTAGGTATTGTTCCAGCTAAAATGTAGAGTATTTAACATATGAATATTTGGATGATTGCATTGTAACTATCCGGAAAAATAAAAACAAAATGCAAAACAAGAGGTGAGTAAGGTTGGTTAAAATAAAATAATTTCCATTCTTTGCTGTTTTGTTTTTTTTCTTGTTGTGGTAGATTTATTTTGAAAACACCAAAAAATACCATTTTTTAAGATACAGATACGTACGTATATCTGCATTGTACATACGTGCGTGCAAGGCAATAAATTTATAGCATTCTACACAGTATGAATTATACGATAATAAAATTTGTGGAATGAGGGTATTTTAACGAAAAAAAAATTAACATTTCACATACTTACTGTTATACCATTGTTACAAGCATGAATGTAAGGTAAATACATACGTATATATTAAGAAATAAATATTTTTTTTCATAAATTTTAAAAATTTTGATTAGTTCCAAAGTTTTGAATGCATTGTGTCGGAAGTCGACCAGCTTTTAATATCACCATTTTATCTTAATTAATTTTATAAATTCTGAAAATGCTCTTCTGTTATAACGTAAAATTATTTTGTCCTTAAATATTTTTTTGTCATTTAAATTAATAATTGCTATAATATTCCAAAAAAATTTCCAATTTCTAAAAATTCTTCTTAAAATACAATATTTTCAACTATAATGTTAAGTGAATTTGTTATTTACATTTATTTACATTTCTAAGTATATATGAAGGTTATAATGGGAAAGTAAAAGTAATAACATGTAAAAAAAAAGAGTTGTAAGAAAATAAAGAGGTTACTAATTATGTTAATGTTTGATTTAAGCAAACATGAAAAGAACTGTTTTTGAATTAACAAGTATCTGGTTAAATACGAAGTTAGAATATAAATTAAATATTTATTACTCTCACTAAAAATAAGATTACTGGCTACCTATATTTACATTAAAAAATTTTCTTAATTTTATATCAACAAAGAGTATAGCATTTAATTTTGAAAATTTAAGTATACTAGATTAACTTAAATATGGCTAGATGTTAATCCTACATAGTTATGCTAAAAAATAGTAAGTTGATCACAATATTTTTATTTCAGTGTCCACAATCTTTCAAGATTGGACATTGAATTAAAATAGAAGACAAATTCAAAAAGTCGACAGCTAATATAAAGGAATAATGTAAAAAATAAATTTTAAAAAATTTTTTATAAATTTTAATAAAATTTCTTAGTAGTAATTGTTCGAAACTCAATGTTTTCTGTTATTTTGGGAAGGAAATTTCGTGAGTTATGAGAATATTTCTATTGAACGAGTGATAAATTTTTCAAGAATAAGTTTAAGTACATTCAGTTATTTAGTTGTACTAACATTGTTATGCCATTAATTCATAATTGCATACTTTCAGGGATAGAACCATAATTCATAGAAGTGCTAGCATGAGAATTGTCGAATTCAACAATTAACCAGGTGCGTTGAGAAAAAATAATTTTACGTTTTTGATGAGAAGACCTTATTCTTTCACTTTATACATTTAAATAAATTTGGAAAAGTTTATGGTTAAGCATAAATAGGAAGCCGAAAACTGAAAATTTAAAATACATGTTGTTCCGATAAAATAAATTATTTGCATTCTGTTAAAAACTTAGACTTCTGCAATTAAGACAGAATCGATGCCAAAAATTAAAAAAAAAATAAAGCGACTTTAAAATTTACGGTCAATATTTCAACAGCTATTTTGATCTTTTACTTTCTTTTCAAAGTGAAACTTGCAGATTTAGTCATTTATCATTAAAAAATAAAATTATTTTCCTATAATATTAAAATTTATTTAAAATAAAAAAAAAAGTAAAGTAAAGACTTAATGGTCATAAGTTTTATAGTTTTATTACTTTTTAACATTAATCCGTAACGGATTAGTTGGAAAACGCGCATATTAATCATTACTGTTTAATATTTATAAAAAAAGCTATATAATATTTATTTATTATATAAATCTACCAAGCGTATAGTAGTACTCGTATAAACGCTCTATTTTAATTAACATTTTACTTAATAGTTTTTAGTACCAATACACATACATGAAATTCGTACCGATGCAAAATATTTTAAAAGATTATAAAAATCTAAATAGCTTGTTAATGTCTATTGTCTTGATAAAATTTATTACACTTTAATTTTTGTTTTTAAAGTGTTAACTGGCACCCAGACAATATTTTCCATTCTTTCCAAGCTTGTAAACGTTTTTTATTTCTTTTTATATTTTTCATTTATATACTTGTATAATGAAATAACACTGACGGCAGCATAAAAGTAAAATTATGGCCAAAAGTATATTAAATAATATTAATACTAAGTAAAAGAGTTTTGGTTTTACAAAAAAAAAAAATAAAAATAAAAAAAGCGAAATGAATCATAAATGGTCGACACACGTGATATGTAGGAATATGTTAATGGTTTGTAATAAATTTAAAGAGAAAAAAATCCGGTTGAATTTTCCATGCCAAAAATATTGTATACATTCATCGTGATAATTGAAATTTTAAATTAAATTTTGTTCCTTGTTTATGTCATGAAAAGGATTAAGTATATAAAAAATTATAATATTAGATTACAAGAAGGATAATGACATAGCAAAATGGTTTTTCTTTGTTTGTATAAATTTGAATATAATTGCATAATGGGAAAAAACAAATTTAAGTCCTTTTTTAATTGTCAGAATTTAATTATATATTTACATTCATTATGTAAACCTTGAACTATGACCATATGGGAACGATTGATAATGTGTTAGCGTAAAGTAGCATATTTCAAATTGGAAAAGGTTCTTTAAAAAATGATATTCTTTGCATTTATATGCATTGTTCTCCTATAATGTCACATTGAAATAAGGAGAATTGTTCGTAACTATTGTACTGGATGTTTCGCATAAGGTGGTAAATAATTTCAGGAATGATTTTTTGATTAATTCCCAGTAAAAACTTTGAATGATTGAGGGTGAGGAGGGAGGGTTGTGCAGATATACCCGTTTTCGTGCTTCAGCCTGTTGGAAAAAAGATATCAGATTTTTCCTGTATATAAATAAATATGATTAGAACTTCGGAGCCATGTGGCATAGAATAACTATTGTTGGCTTGTTCTACTCTCAATATGATCTGAGCAATGGTTTTTGAGATAAATCTTGTCAAAATCAGAACTTTTGTTTGTGTTTTAAGATTTTTTTTTAAAAACTCGAAATTTCTCGAAAATTTTTGTTAATCTATATAACATTTTCCTCTGTCACTCACAGTTTTGCCACTTTAGTTTTGAAAAATACAAATTTTATGCAATTGAGCCATTTAATATATTTGAATAAATATTCTGTTGTAATATCACCGCGGCATTTTATGGTATTTATGGAAATTTTATAAATTTAACAGTTTCAACTCAATTCGTTGTTGCAAAACTAGAATGCTGCAGATTTTGACAAAGTGATAGCTTAGGAAGAAGAATGGTATAAAAAAATTTTTTCTAATGGAATGAATTGTTATTATTAATATAGTTTCAGACATCTTAACATCTAAGATAAAAACTACATTAAAATTATGTCAAAAATGGCATTTTGGAAACATTATGGAAAAAGAAAAAGGAGATGAAGGATATTTTCCTTCTAAGGAATATATCCTTCAAATTTTTTTAAAAAGATATATAGGAAGATCGACAAATTATAGAGAACATTCCTGTTCTTTATATGTTCACATAGAACATAGGTATAAATAGAGGTTCACTTTCTAAGGTGAAACTTTCTTTGAAAGTGAACCTCTTCCAAACCTAAAATTTATATTTTTGGAATTAAAATAAATAGAAATTTGCTAGTGTACTCAAAATTTGAAAAAAGTTTTTAAACAGCATTTTGAGAATCTTGTGCAACCCTTTTATCATTACAAATAATTTATTTAAACAAGAATTCATTTAATCAAGAATTCCTTAATATTATTCCGAAAATAGATATTAAAATCGGCTGTGTTGACCAGACAACATTTTATTTTATGCGACCTGAAAATTATAAGAATAACGCAATGGAAGTGTACAACAATCAGTAAGAGCAATATAATTAAATTGCCAAACAATTTATTTAGACATTAAAAAAGCAAAGTATATTTGAAAAAATGGAAAATAAAAAGACAGAAAAACTAATATTGAAAAAATTGAAAGAGAGAAGAAGACATTTTTATTTTCTTCAAGAATTCACTTACAATAGCACAATAATAGTGTATATATACCGACATTTTGTAAACAATTTCACTTATAAAATACACAAAACAAATATTTAACGGAAAAAATGTAAAGAAAAATTGGTTTCCCGTCTTCCTAAGATTCCCTCCGTATTTTATTGTCAAAAGTTACTTGATTCGTTAAAAATGTCACACCTAAAAATTGTTAGTACACTGTAGAGTTGTGTATATAGAGTACGCATAATTAAATCATGTATGTAGATATAAATATTTGCATATTATATTTGATTTTAATATAGCAATACGAGGTAGAATGGAAAAGTTAAAAGAAATCAATAAGTGTTGGGGTAATAGTTTTGGGGCAAAGCAAGTAACTACCTAAACGTAACAAATTAGGGAATGTAAATAAAACAGTAAAGAATTAAAAACTTATAAACAAATGTCTATATGAAGCAGTGAACGTTTTGAACTCGTGCCGTAAGGGAAATCACTGAGAACTTAAGTAATTCTACTCGTTCTTAAATTTTGCAAACATTGTAGTTCATATATGGAAAAGCTTTCTTCATATCTCTTATGGCAAAGTAATATGTGGTGAAAATGCAAGCTAAAGAATTATAGAGTTACATTAGTTTAACATTCAACTCTGATTCTAAAAAATTTATATCTTTTGGAGGAAATATTTACCTGTTTCGTCTCCTTTAAGATTTATAGCCCTACAAAGTCCTGAAAATGTCATTTTTAACAAAGTATTTCGACTCATTCCTAGCCATTACTTTTGTTTTGCTTGCCAAAAATAGTGAGTGATTGAATTTGTGTAATGTAAACGGAGAATCCAATTAATTCTTAAATAAATATTCTTTAACACAAACCACAAACATTTTTTATAAATTATTCAATTGCAGAAAAGTAGAATTTCAAATTTTTCTCTTGTTCTAAATGTAAGCTTCAATTTGATTCCTTTGACTGATTGCTAGGTTAGAAAAAATTATTTTAATACCTACGTTACCTAACTAGTAGATCCTTTATTCAGTAAATTATTTAATTTATTGAATATGCCAATTCAAATATCAGTGGTTTGATTCGAATTTATATAAAATGTGTTGGGAAAGGTAGAAAGTTGCTTCTCCATTTTCCACTTTAAAGGCATGCTCATACCTCGTGTCTCAGTATTGATTTTATTTTTGCCAAAAAAATAAAGGCTTGTCAAAAATATTTTGTTGCCTCTTTTTTTACTGCTTTCATACTCTTGATGGTTCATTTTCTTTTTTATGTTTTCATAATGTCACTAATAACAATGTGATTTAGCACACAAAAGTGATTTCTTTTTCATTGAACTAAGTATGTGTAAAAATTATTTAAATTCTTTTGAATTTTTTTTTGCTTTTTGTTAGTTTTTTTTTTAATTTTCGTTTTGCTCTTTAAATTTTTGATTGTAGTTGAATAATGCTTGTTATTTTTCAATGTGTGATTGCGTGTATATTGAGTGCTACTTATTAGAATCTATGTAATTGTTTTTTAATCTTTTTAGTTATTTTTGAATTGTTTGTTTTCAATAATTGAATTAAGTCAATTAGAGGTGATCATGACATTTATCAGTAAATTTTATGGTTTATTACTGTTTATACATGCAAATTTATTATTGGGTTTTATAGGTCATAACAGGTTTAAAATTTTATTGATATTAAAATATAGATTTTTTCTATGTATATTTTTTCTATATTCTATGAGTAAATAAAATTGCAGTAGATAAGAATTGCGGGGGACTTTTTGGAAATATTCATTGAAAAGAATATTAATATTATTATTAATGGCGTTCTTCAATTAACATCAATTTCATTGTTTATCGAAAAATAATTGACTTTCTCTTACTACTGCGGGTTAAAAATCATATACGATTAGTGAACCTACGCCCACCAAAGAAAAAATTCTAATACATTATAGATTCCAGCTAATGGATTAATACTTTTTGCATATCTGGTTTTGCATATTTGCATATCAAGGTTCTTAGAACCTTGTCGTGCAAAGTAGTACGTGAACATATCATTAATTCAATTAATTATTAAAACGTGGAGATGTGCTGGCCTGGAGCGCAGTTTTTATGATAAATGGATGAACTTCAAAGAAATATGTCGGTCTGGTAACAATTTATATGAAAAATACAAACTCATTAAAGTACAAACATAGGACGCAGTCCTTATGGAAAATACACAAATTTTGAAAAGTTATCCGTGTAACAGTTGATAAATTATTAAAGTACAGAAAATATCTACCTGACGGGAGTTAGATAAATTATTTTCTTTAAAATACGAAAATGTACCTAGCTATCTGAATTTATGTTGCTTTCGTGAAGACCGTTTTAAAGTATGTCAGGTTGGGTCACCTCTTCGTAATATTGATATTGATCGTATTGATGCTGTGCCACGGTATGAATTGGTTCGATCGGTTTAGATTGCTCCAGTATGAGAGTAGGCTTCAGCTTTTGGACTTGAAAACAGACTAATTGGTATTTGTCTGTTTTTTATACAAACATAGGCAAGAGGGTGCTTAAGGCTGGATTACGCAGTAGCATTGATTTTGTTTAATTTATTTCTAGTAACTCTGATACAAATGAATCTATAAGTGCCAATGTATGTATATTTAAAATTTTATAATCAAAATCGTATAAGGCATGGTAAATTTAAAGTAAATCAGGTTCTAGTAATAAATTAATTGCCCTTTTAGCACATTAAGCGACTAAAATTTTCAATTAAAAATGTTAGATTATTGTTAAATAAAATAATTTTTAAATTTTAATTTTTGTTGAATGTATTAATAAAAAAGTTGTGGTCATCAACATATTTTTCAAATCATCTCAATCACAATCATTGACAAAATAATGTTAACATATTTATATTCCTGTGTCATATGTTGTTGGTTGATCAATTTTTGATGTAAAGCTGGACAAGTTTGCGATCTGAAATTTATAAATGGTTACATATCTTAAAATACTTTTCTTATGGTTTCGCAAGATGATTTTCCAGAAAATAACATACTAACAATTTCTGTTTGAAAAATTAATTTTTAATTTATTAGACAACACAAACTTAAGATTGTGCACGAATTGGTACTATAACATTTACCCCAATAAAAGAGACACACAGATCCAGTCAGAAAATTTAAACGCTATCGAGTATTTGTGGAATTAATCGCAAGAAAGACAAGAAAATACCCAATAGCAATTAATTAAGATGCTAAAATTGGAATTACTGAAATAACTTTCGAATTCTATTAATTGATTGTTGATTGATTGGTTGCCTTGATTCTAAATATTTATTCTTTATTTTATAATATTTGAATTATACGTATTCACATTGAAATAGTTAACTGAAAATACTGCAAACTTTGTATATTCCTAAACAAGGCTTATTTGTCGTAAATTAAAAAGAAAATTAAAATTTCATAATCAAAAATTATTATTTTGTGAGTTAAGTTTTTTAAGTCAAAATTCAGAAGGTGGAAAAGGTAATTTTTTACGTTGATTCACAGTGGACACAGTGCAGTGGGTTTATTTAAAATATTACCTACAGGTATAAATTAATGAATGTTTAACTCAATATACCAAATCCTATATGACTGCCTACAAAAATCTATAAAATGTAGTATGTTTGTTAATTATAAGTATTTTGGAAAAAAATTAAAGTGCTTAATGTTTAAATGATGGAAACATTGTTTTCAATTTTACCTAAACTAAATTTTTTGTTTTCGATTTTAATTGCATTCACGTGTTTTTAATTAAATAACCGCCATGGGGATAATTAAAAGAATTCTTTGTTTTTTAATGTTAATTTTATTTGTTATTTATTAGAGCTGAAAGTTAAAAATGTTTTTATGTACATCGAAAAGTGAAATTTTGAATTTCATTAAAATTTTTTTTTTTTAAATTTTAAAATTATGTTGTTAGGCTTGAAAATAGCTACATACCTAGATATTTTCCAGAGTAAATATTGATTCTGTGAGAAAGTCTCCCATTTCTTCTTCCATATTATTTGAATTCATTTTTGGTGTTAAATTTATTTAAACGCCTATTTTAAATTTGAATTTTTCTTTATTGAAATAACTAAAAGAAAAGTAAACATAGGTAAAAAAAAAATTTTTTTTAAACAAAATTAACACCTACTTCTTACCTTCTAATTTACTTGTTCAATTTATTTTTTTTTTTGAAAAAGTTCAAATAGGAAAAAAAAATCTTTATTAAAAGATCAAAAATTTTGTTATTTCATACTACAATTTTAATCGCAGTGTTTACAAAATAAATTCCTTATTTTTATGAAAAAAAAAAATAATTTTTTTCCTTCTTTATTAAATTTTTAAATTTAATGCAGAAAATTTTATTTAAAGAAAAATGAAGAGTACCTAAAGTGAAAGTGATTTTTGATTTTTTGGTTTCTTTATTTTTTTTTTCATAATTTTTATAACTGATACAACATGTTTGGGAATTTGGTGATTTAAATTCCTGGAAATTTCTTAACTATAAGAAACTTCATTGAGTCATGACAACGTTAAAGCGATATGAAATCTTTAATATTTTTTCGAGTTGAAACGCAAGTTAACTGCAAAGAGAAAAATAATAAAGACTAAATTTTTTTAAATGCGTCCATAAAAATAACTGAACGTTTTATTTATTGGAAAAAAAATTTTTTTTTCTGCAAAATATTTTCCTTTTTTTCTCTCATTTTGACTGTAAATTTTACGATACAATGTATATGTGTATATGTCGATGGTGAAGCGCACAAATATGCTAAGTAGAAGAAATATGCGAAAGGAAGCCGATTAATCTAATTAAACTACTTAAATTAGTTTATGTTTAAAAAAAATTGTTTTAATAAAATTTGTGTTTTTGGACAAAAGCTCGTATACGTAACATGAAAAAGCTAATAGTATTAAAATTCCTAATAAAAACCGATGTGCTTAGCATATTATTTGTGTTTCATCAATATAACCAGTTTTTGTAATATAAACATACTAAGAAAGCACTGAGCCTTTATTTGCTCAATCACTCAATCGATTTGTACCACCACGCCAATATCGGAAACTAATACGAACACATCACTGAAACCTATATCACAGAAAGAAAGCCGTTCAAAATATAGGGATTGTTGTAAAAAAACGCAATTTCAAAAAATTTATTACTTAGTATGTCTGTGCACTTCACCATCCATAATATGTACATAGTATGTATTTTTGTAACTTCAGTATATGAATTTATGAAAAATGATTAGGAGTGTTGGTGGGAAAAAAAATCTTTGATTCATTCGAAAGAAATTTTCATTCATAAAAATAATAATATTAAAAAAATTCATAAAGTTTATAAAATTTGATTTATTGTCGAACGTGCTCGCGTGTACAAAAGAGAAACAACACATATAAAATATATAGGATTATTCTAAGTTGAATGAATCAAGGACTTTGTCGGTTTCTTTTTTTTTTTTTTCTTTTGGTGTATTTATGAATATATTTTTTTTATAGGTATAAGGTATAGATGAGGTACGTGCATAGGTACTGGCATATTGTATATTAAATTGGTTTTTTTTTGTGTACATTATGCCCTTTTATATTTTAACACTTTTTACCCATTTCGAATTCCAAAAAATTTCATTAAAAATTTTTATTAAAAAAATAATCATTAGTACATTTTCAATAAAATTGAAAACAAAAAGCGCTTATTAGTCATCCTGTGGCCATTTATCTACCGCAGCG